GCTATTCACAAAGAGCAAACAATATATACAGAAATTATAAAATTGTATACAGAAATAAAACAATTTTACATGGTGTAGTGTTGAGGATGAAAACCTGTTAAAAACAGATGCCCCCGATACCGGGGGCAGCCGGGCTGTGGTCAAAATCGCTGACTGAATTTTTTCTATTTTTGCCGTTTTAAAGGTTCAGTGTGTAATATTTCTGAGGATCTATTGATAGAAATGCAATATAATATCCATAACTATGTTTTCAGTGGTGTATAAAGACCTTACATAATGAACCATTATGTTTTTATTACCTTAGAATGAGCCATTTTTATCTACATAACCTATATTTTGTCGTCATTTTTCTACTGTAGCTGACAATGAATCATCACAGTGTTCTTCTTCTGCTTGTATAATTCCGGCAGTGTAGATGCCCGTCACTAAATTAAATACATACATAGAAGAAGAAGAGGGAATAATAATATACAGTCTCTGAGTAGTCTTCTGGTTTATTAGAAGTAAGAAGAGAAGTGACATTTGGACAAATGAACAAGCACGTGTTATTTAGCACGAGAGCCAACAGCCTGTGAATCTTTATACCATGAAGTCAGAGGAGTCCGGACAGATACAAACAGCTGACGGCAGAAATCACGGATGTTGTGGATTTTCCCAGATGGAAGTCTACAATGTGGGACAGATGTTTTCAAAGCGGTGCTGAAGTTGTCTGTTTTCTGCTGGACAGGTAATTAACTTAAGTTTGTCAGACTTTAGCGATGTAAATGAAAGCACAGAGAGCCATGACGTGTTTCCCCTGTCAGTGGTGTTAAATATGTAGTTGCATTAATTTCATGTTGCCTACTTATTCTCCAGCCTGTGGTTTGGCTTTGCCGGTTACATTAGCGAGACAATCAGATGATCAGTAACAATAAAACCGTAACATTAGCTTAGAGCATGGAAGCATCAGCCAGCTAAACCTTTACTGCCCTGGTAGAAAAATCATGTAAGGTTAGTTGCATTGTTTTTATTCTCCAGCGCTGGCTTTGGCTTGTGGTGTAAAATATGTAGTTGGATTAATTTCATGTAGTTACTCTCTCTCCAGCGCTGTTTTGGCTTTGTTGTTATGTTGTGAGACAATCAGCTGATCACTAACTGGCAATAAAACGCTAGCTTACAGCTGGAAACTCAGATCAGACAGCTAAACCTTTATTGCCCTGGTAGAAAAACTTTTATGTAGTTAATCTCTCTCTCTCCAGCGCTCTGTTTTTGTTTTGTTACCTTCATGAGACAATCAGCTGATCACTAATTGGCAGTAACAGGCAGCTTCCAGCATGAAAGCTTAACTTTTACTGCGCTGGTAGAAAAAATATGTAGTTGGATTGTAATTTCATGTAGTTATTCTACAGCGCTCTGTTATGGCTTTGTTACGTGGACAGAAATGTGCCGTTACCCTCCTGAGACAAACAGATGATGAATATTATTGGCAATAAAACGGTACCAGCAGGGAAGCTCAGATCAGCAGCTAAACTTCACATTTTACTGACCTGGTGGAAAACAAGACCGTGTGCCTATCGAGTGACCAATAATGAATACTTTCCAAATTTGCATTTAAAAAACGTGTTTTATTTGGATATTGCTTCCCCACTGTGCACACAAATGTGTAATTTTTACTTTCACATGGTAAATGCCCATTAAAAACGTTGCACTGTTTTACCACAAGATGAAATTATGGCTGTCAGTACTATGTATTTCTGTTGTAATTGTAATTGTTGTAATAAAAAAAGACATTATGGTATGATTTGCATGCTTATCTAATTAAGCAAAGTGAGAGGAGTCTTGATCCTCACCAGCCAATGCCTTTATAAACTTCATGTATTATGTGGTTTATAATGGACTGTAGTAGCAAATTTATTAACTCTCTAAAGAATGTAATCTCAACCCATTCGAGCAGAGGGAGATATACGTGTAAAAAAAGGTGCCATGCCATGGCTGAATAAAGAATGCAAAAATCTGATGTTAGCTAGAGACCTGCTATTAAAGCAATTTTTGAAATCAGGTCTAACAACAGACCCTCAGAAGTGGGCCAGTTCTGTTCTCTCTTTTTATCAATAACCTACCAAATTCATGTCCAAACGTCTTTTCGCAAATGTATGCGGATGACGTAGTAATTTATACTCAAGCAAAATCTATCCAACAAGTAGCTGCTGACCTCACAGTGGCTCTATTCTATGTGCAGGACTGGCTAAAGGATTCATGCCTCATGTTGAATACCAGAAAAACTGTGTGCATGTATTTCTCAAAACGCCATGTCAAAATAATCAGATCAAATGTCTTTCTGAATGGAGTGGAGCCTGACCTGGTCTCAGAATTTAAATACCTTGGGGTAGTTCTCGATCCAACATTTTGTTTTAAAAGTCAGGTAAAAAAAGAATCACAGGTAGTCAAATTTAATCTTCAAAATTTTCAGCATATTCGAAATGATTTAACTATAGGTGCAGCTAAAACATATTTTTATTTAATGATTATTTCTCATTTTGATTATTGCTTGACTACCTGGTCTCTTGCTTGCCCCACAACACTAAAAACCATAGAAAGTCTCTATAAAAAGGCACTAAAAATACTTGATAAAAAAACGTAAATTTGCAGAGGACCACGCGAGCCTCTACCAGAGGAGACGTAATAATACCCGACAGGCGTACCACCTTCGGTCAGATGGTCCTGTCAGTCCGGGGTGGGAACCTGTGGAATAGTCTTCCTATAACATTGAGAGAATGCCCTACATATAGCTCGTTTAAAGTCCAGCTGAAAAAATGGCTATGGGCAAATCAAAATTGCACACATTAATGGGTATGCTGTATCTTATTTTAATTTTTTTGTTTCGTTTCGTTAATTGTATATGGATGAGTGTTTGTGAACTGAATGAACTTTAGTTAAAGTTTTATGTGAATATTGTATATAGGACTTTTAATAATTTAATGATAAATGATGCAGATGTAAATTTTATTCTGTAATGTTTTATGACCTTTGTGATCTTAGCCTGTGGGACTACGGATGGAAATTAGCTTGTAGCTACAATCCGACATGTTTACATGCATGTATTCCATGTTTGTTCATTAACATGTACTGTCCCAATCAAATAAACAAATAAATAAATAGACTGTGGTGAAGAAACAGTGAGGCTTATATTGTTCTATTATCTGTCAGTGGTCATACTTGATGCACTAGATGTGAGATGTTCTTCATTTACTTTGGTTTGTTAGTCCAGATGAGCCAACCCTCCCAAGTTGTAAAATACTGTATTACAGGAGTATGAGACATCATGTAGCACTAAATTTCTTGATGTGGCTTTTGTTTATTAATGAACAAGTAACAATAATATTCACAATAACATATGGTTTAACTGAATAATTAAGTAGATATAATTTTTTAATATATTGATGAATATACACTGTTTTTATCAATATTTCAATGTTTTGTTATTTGGAACTTGGTTATATGGACAGAAAAAGTGTTTTAAAGATATCTCCCAATAAAAGTCAACATTTAAACAGTAAATATGGTCAAAATATCGATATATTTTGAAAATATTGTATAACTGTTGTATTTTAGTTTATTTTCATCAAATTTACAGTTACAATTGTATTCTAGATAGTACTAGAAGAGGTCAGTTGCATTATAAGCTTCCTTATGATGGTTTTGATGGTTTATTGAATTAAAATATAGCTTTTTTTATCCTTTGGGCTAACTGAACCACCTCTTTTGCATAAAGAAATGTAAAAAAAAAAAAAAATAAATAGAAGGAAAAATGCTAAGGAAAATACTACATACTTAAAGTTCCCATAAAATGGAAACCGGAGTGTTATTTCCTACGTGTTTCCTGTTAACACAAAGTGGAGGGACAAATATTGATTGACTTTTGCAGTAGCCAATAGCGCTGAATGTACGTTACGCCCGCAACCCGTCATGCAGACTCTGTGCAGACTGGTTCCAGCTCCCGCTGAGTGAACACAGCAGCCGGGTCTAAACATATTCCCCGATTCCCCGAGGCCATTTTGACGGGGTGGTTTTCTTGTGTGGTTTGGGTCTTGGAACCTTGGGTCAGCTAACAGGACCGCTAGCAGCCTGAGCTAACTAACTACAGATGCAGACAGATACAGTTAGCAGCAGTTAACAGTTTAGCAAAAAGTAAAGCTATCTGTCCATCCTGAAGCTCTGTAAATCACCTCGGTACTGTATTCCCTGATGGTCTTTGAGACTGTGTGTTCCTGTTTAGACTGTGTGACCTGGGAGGCTGCTGAACGCGGTGTCATTGCACGCTCCCCCATCCCTGGCCATAGACTGTATAAAGCCCCCTGGCCTGAAAACCTCCATGGCTTCAGTAACATTAGAAGTGTAACATAAAACACTCCCCAGTGCTCCGAGCTCCCAGTCCAGGCATAGTCAGCTAATATGACAGCTAACTAACAGCAGCTAGTAGCAGTTAGCTGCAGCATGGTGGTCCAGTGGATAGCACTGTGGCCTCACAGCAAGAAGGTTGTGGGTTCAAACCCTGTGGAGTTTGCATGTTCTCCCCGTGTGGGTATGCTCTGGTTTCCCCCACCATCAAAAACATGTTAGGTAGCTCCCAGTCCAGGCCCACTGACTAAACACTGATATATACATCTGGAGTTGGTCTCTGGGCACTGCATAGTGGCTGCCCACTGCTCCCTTGAGTGATGGGTTCAATGCAGAGAATGACTTTCACAACATGTATGTGACAATCTTCTTACTTTATCAGCAAACTCTGTAAATCACAGATAGCTGAGGCAGGGCAGCCGGGGGACATCAGAGGGAGAACCAGAAAATATTGTTCTCCATCAAATATGATCCAGTTTCACCAAAATCAGTTAAGATGTGTTTTTGTTTTTGTACAGTAATCAGTGAGGTTGGCCCCCAGAAACACGGTACTCCACTCCAGTGGCATCATAAAAATTAGAAAGCTTTTCATTGGATGCTGAATAAATACACGCCCCCGAGTGCAGGATGTCATCAACATTTTAAAATCGTTTTCCAGGTAATGACAAACTCTAAAATACCATCAAGAATACCTCCAAAACAATGTTTGTTTATCATTGTTGGGCCAGATGCTGGTGTATTAGGGACATATAGTGCAAGGCATTTGCAATAAAAACAAATAAACATCGATTTTGATTTCATGGGGACTTTAAATACAAAAATAAAATACATTTAAAAATGAATCATTAGATTAAATGGAAAATTAAATGACAAAGGAAATAAATAGGGGGATTAATAGTATATTGATTGGATGGTGACTGGAATCGGATGATTTTCAGCTTAATCGGCCATGGCCAGAAATGGCCAGTTTAAAGAAAGAATTTTCCATTAAAAAAACGTTCCAAAAATGTTTGTGTATGCTGTCAATTATAGTTCTTTGAAAGAAAGAAAATCAGAACTGGCTAAAATCAGAATTGGTAGGTCAGCCCTTTAAAAACGTGTATCAGAATTAGCCATGCAATTGGTACATCATCATTAATACAGAAGCAAATTAAATCAGAAATGTCAATTTATGCCACATTGTTTTTGGTGCATTTAACGGCATATTAATTTATTTGAGTCATATATTTATTTACCTTTGATTTTTTGGCATTTTTATTCCTCTATAATTATACGTATTAAAATAGACAATATGTACAAACATTTTGTCATGTATTTTTAGGATTTTTACTTTTTTCTCGATGATAGCAGAATTGGGAAAAAGTAAAAAAATAAATATACTATTTACAATCACACAAGCCATTCCAATGTTATTGTCACTGCAAGGAGAAAGCAAAAGGCAAAATAAATGTTAGTTCAAACAATGTCCATGGTGAAGTTAGCATACAGTATGTGAGGTGCTACAGTAATAAGCAATAAAACAAAACAGTGTCCAAGTCTCCAACTTACTTTATTCCAACATCCTGGCACAGGTAAGCCATCGTCTCCCTGTAAAAAAGAAAAACAAGAAGTGAAAAATAATGTACGCTGCAGACAAGAACAATATTATCATGCAAGCAACAATGCATACAAAACACGCTTTACAATAAAGAAATATATAAAGAAGAAACAGTTGAAATTAGTATTCTCTTCATAGAGAGAATAGTTATTTTTTCCATTCAGGGTTTAGGAAGCAAAAGTCCTGTTCTATTTCAGAAGATGTATTATAGGTCTGTTTCGAATCAGACGGTTGTTGATTGAATTTAGTCCATAAATCTGTTTCTTAAAAGATCTGGCAAAGTAAGATATAACAATAACATTACTAAATATAGGATGCATCCTTTTTACACTAGTGAAACAGGCCAGGCAGCTCATTCATCTCTTGAACAGAGATATTTTGGGGAAGATACTGTTTTATCAGGAGTAGACAGGCATGCAGTTCATCAAAGACTGCCTCAAAACAATAATTACTTAATTTGGCCATTAGTCTATCTTTCATATTATTTGTTAGTTTGTATTTGTTGAATAGTTGTTATAGTATTTTGTCATAGTTCTCGTTCAAAGCTTTGTAGATACAGCATGACACATTCATGAGTTTAAATCAGTTCCCTTTCAGATTTTTGGGTCAATTTAGGAGGAAGTTGGCGACTATGATGCTGTGTTTTGTTTTGTTGCAATGACAATTTTGCTACAGATCTAAATTGAGCCACTTTTCCAACATAACTTGTGTAAATTATGCTGGGGTTTCATGCTTGAATTTACAAATATATGTTCATGTACTAAACTTCTTAGACAGCCTTACCTGTGAAGATGAAATTCAGAAATTAAAGAGATCTTTTCTGTCAATCCCTTTCTCCATTACTAGATTTATGGTACCTTCCCATACCAAATCTAACCAAAAAGAAGCCTTGCAAAGTTTTTTGCAACAAATGGGATGCATGACAAGATTTACGTTGGACCAATAAGCAGGTTATAGGGAGTGTTTAGAAAATCACATGACTTGCTGCTCCCCCTGAAACTTCCACAATACGAGAACAAGAATTTAAACAAACATGTTTATTTTAGTTGTCCATTTTGTAATGAGACATCTGCTTTACCAATCACAACGCACAGCAGTGTCAGCAACTCATGATAGTAGCTGGAACATGGATATAGTATCACCATCTGAGCAATGTCCAAATTTAGTTTTATGAACTTATCCCCAAAGAAGCCAGTCTAATCAAAAGCAGAATACATGACAATGGGTTGTCTAATTAAACTGATGGCACAAAGAAAAACTTAATTTGCAGACAGGCTTTTTAAGGCTAAATGTGTACACAGAAAAACTTGCTGCAATGACGCTTTCCATTCTAATACAACGGCTTGCTTTGACCAAATAAATTAATTTAGTTTCCACTGCTTTTCACCACCTGTGGTTTTATGTAGCCTTGAAGATGGAAAAAAAATGGTGCTCCATGCAAGAGATGGTAAAGTAAATAAGGGGTTATGAAGAAAGGCTCTACTAAACTTTCAGTCTAGTACAATTTCAAGGCTTTAAATTTAAGATATTTCTGGTTATGTAATTGGTGATATTAGTCACAATCATAGATATGAAATAGTAGTTTTTTAGTAGTTGTGATACAGGTGTTAAACAAGTATTTCATTTCAGACGAAAGGCTTGTTCTTGTTAGTTCTACGGGAGGTCAGTTGGAAACGTTCTGGCCTATTACTAGGTGAGTCAACTACAATAAGTTGATTTTAACTTTCATGCAAAAGTAGATGTTTCTGTGAATCTACAGTGCAACTTCTGAGTGCCCATAGTCAGGGGTGAGGTTAAGGATAGCTAGAGGCATGCTGGGAAAAATGAAGGGAAGGAAAGAGCACCATACCACAGGGCAAGGGGCATCCAGCCCGTCCAGGCCTGGCAAGCCCGGTTCACCTTTCTCCCCTTTAAAGCCTCGGAAACCCTGTTTGTGAAATCAACCATTTAAAAACCAGATTTGCAGCTCATTTCTAGCGAAGCAGCAATTGTCCTCCACTGCTTAATGGCGGGAGGATCTCCCCTTCGGTCCACTGGGTGACTGGATGCAAGTTTCCTAAACATGCCGGCAACCTGGGACAGACAGGAACTGGGCTTTCTGAGATGAGTTTGAAATGTTTCGAATGATTTCATGTGTACAATGACAAATGGAAGGATGTAACTTTTTTCTCTCTGGCTTGGGCCGGGTATTAAAGGTATGGTTTCAGGTCAAATTTTTTGGCCTGTGCAGAAATCTAGTTTGTCCCCAATCTGTCATATAAGGGCAACATAAAGGACAGGGTAGAGGGAGGCTGAAAATAGAGACAACATACTTGGCATCTTTTGATACTCATCAGCAGTAGCTGCCCGGTTCTGCTCTGTATAATTCCTGGAAAAAAAGAGGTTCCTCAGGCAGAGTTGTGGTCTGTGGTCCATCCAAGTCATTTTGTACCTGATAAATCTATTTTCATCTTTAAGCTACAACCTTTCCTTTGTCTAATGAAAGTTTTTTAATTGATCAAAATTAAATTTAAGATCTCATCAATTAATTCACCCTCATCTCCCAATATATTGGACAGGTTGCAGTGGACACTTGGACCAAAACTTCCCTGAGGTTGATTAGAATCACTAAATACCAGAGCCAAAAGGAAGCTGACTACTGAATACAAATCTTCACAGAAACTGAAGCTCTATGGGATTTTGTTGTATTCTAAAATAGTTCTCCTTCCCTTTGGCTCTTGGTTAATCAGACTAATGACATACCAACGGACAGGGGGCATCTAATCCAGGTGCTCCTTGGTCTCCCTTATCCCCTTTGGCCCCCCTGTTGCCTTTCTTGCCCCTCTCTCCCTGCAAACAACAGCGTATTTAAAAAGACAAACTTCAGTCCTCCTCATTAAGCCATACATGAAGCAAATGTTTGTTTTTTTGAAAGAGTTCATCTGCCAGGTGTTCTTACATATATGCAATTTAGACAACATGACATTTATTTTAATTGACTCATGTGTTTGGTGGGCTTTTTAGTGGAAAGGGAATGTCAGTAGAGGTAGTTAGGGAAGAGGGATTAAAGCCAGTGCTGTTGGTGGGCAGGTTTCATCCAAGTACCTTACCAAGGTCTACCTACAAGCTAGTGTCCACTAAAAGTAGGTTTTAATAGACTTGCAAGTGAGAAGGCTGTTACATGTACTGCTATGTTTTCATTTTACCATGTAAAATAATCTGCTGAACAAAACATCAAATGTGAAAATGAGTGACAGGCTAACATCCAAAAATAAAAGCTAAAGAATAGTGAAGTGGCAGACAGACCATGTGAGGTGACTGGCTGATGGAGCATTCCAAAGATGGGTGGACAAAGTGATGGATTTGACGTGAGTGACTGCTGTTGATTTTCTAACAGTAAGTGTTGGTTTCTTTAATTGTGACCATGGTTTTTAACCAACAAACATGACAGGGGCATCAAATTATGCTAATATGGCTTTTAAAGGCAGTTAAAATGACTTATTTTGTCATTAACAAAATATGTTTACAGGTGTTGGGGAGTACTACTACAAATGTGAAAAAAGTTCACAAAAGGGATCAGATAAAGAAACATTATCTATAGGGTAGGTGAGGGGTCTAACTGCAGACACACACACACACGGCTATTTAAACAGTTTACATTATCCACAAAAAAATATTAATACTCCCATAGATCTTCAGGGGCTCACCACAGCCACTGCTGGCATATACTAATTTAAGTGGTTTAGATTTACAAATATTGAAAGTGGTAGCTATTTCTAACTGTGTGTATACAGTGAATAAAGTATTATTACAGCACGCTACTAACTTCTGTGTCTCCATTCATTTAAAAAAATTGGATATTTAGGATATTTACAGAATTATTGATACAGGTATACATGTTGTATTGCATGTGTGCTCATTTTTACAGATGTTACAGTTTGACAGTCCACAGGCTGTAGTCCATATAACATTAGTCCAGCAGGGTTTTAGTTACGTGTGAGCTCAGCTCCCATGAGGAGGGTCTGAGCTCTTATGGAAGCAGTAAAATCATGCATTAATCACTTATTAATTTACCAACAACTATTATTTTTAATCACAAATGTATTTTCATTGAAATTATTATTTACAATGATAAGATAAACAGGTTAAAATAAACAAGTTTTCCAAATGAACTATGCTGCGCACCGCATGAATGTCATTACGACATGATTAATAATAATAATAATCAGTCAGTTGGGATAGGCTCAAGCCCCCCGCGACCCTGTACGCAGGATAAGCAGTTGACGATGGATGGATGGATGATACCATAACGGGCAGATTTGCGGTCTGTCATTGAGCAGTAGTCTTTGTTGGTTTATTTCAGGCACATCTGGGGCAAGTAATGGGCTGCTGTGTGTGTGAGAAAGTGTTGGACAATGTAATGAGCAATTAAGTCTCTGTCTGTGTAGGCTCAAGCCGGTAAAGTTCGTTATACTACAGACCCCCACGAAGCTCAAATAATAACAGTCCAGTTTCCACAGTTTTTCCTATTAAATTCAGCTGATAGCAGTAAAATGCCATAGTATATATTACTCTTCAAAGGGAAATTATGAATGAGAAGTGTGTGTGTGTGTGTGTGTTTTTTTAATAAGACTGGAAGAGAGGCGTTAACGACGTTATGTTTTTCTGTGAATTGATGGCTGCTGTATGGACAGAGTTAATGTCCTATTTTGACAGAATAAATCAATAGTGCCTGTAACAAAGATACTGTTACTTGCTGAATTATTGAAGCAATATACAGTCTGCTTTGTTGCTACACTGGCATGTTAAGTGCTAAGTAGACAGGATAGGCTCAAATCAATATGCTATATTTAAGGAATTAGCCAACTACTTTTCACTTACAATGTTGACTGATTAATTAAATATAAATCAACAACAAAATCCCTTCCCCTATAAGTGTCTACATGATTTAATTTTCTAATTTTTGAATGCGCTCCCTGTCAAATCACATGATTTTATTTTGGGTTTTTTTGCGTGTATTTCCTGTCTTGACACTGGAGCCGACCTGAGACAGGAGCCTGCACCGGAAGTGTCTCCACAGTCAATGCGTTCTCATCTCAGTGCGTCATTACCGACGCTTTCAGACGGCATGACAAAGTGAAATTATTTGACATTAAAGGTACCCTTCAGCGTCCGGCATGCCGGCTGTGGCTTTTCTTCAGACATGTTCAGGCTCTGTTACTTCAATGTTTCCGGCTCATACAGCGCAGCGAGCCTCATATTGACACAATACTCCTGGAAGCGGCTATAGACAGACTGGGAGACAGCTTCACTAATCCATGCTCCTCACATGATAACGTTGCATTTATTTGACTTGCTACATCGGCATTAGCTTGCCTGCTGCTTTTTCAGTAGGCTAACTAACAATACTATTTATTTTCTTTCACCGGAGGCTCAGCAATGTCAGCACAGCTAAATGTATTGGATGATAATAAAACGGTTAGTGAGCTAGACTGAATATTATAATGACATTCTTGTCACACTTTATAACAGTTAGGCCGCGGTAAGTAACATTACTACATTGGCTCTTCCATTGTGTTGTTCTGTGCCGTTATGTTGCATTATTGTATATTATGCGGGTCATATACATCATATACAGCGACTGAGACGGTGGAGAAGCTGTCTACCTGAGTATTGGTACAACTACAATAAATCTAAATTGAACATCAAACAGTGGTTGATCCATGCTAAAGTAGCTGGCTGCTCCTGCCTTGCACCAAGGCTGGTATAATCAAATCACTTCACATTTGCTTTGTAGCGTTACATCATTTCTGTTACAGGATTACACAGGATAGTAATATTAATTGTGTTATCTGGTAAAGTAATGTGGAAAGCCATAACATTACACATTATATATTGCAATGCACTGGATAACATTAGCAGCTGCTCGGTGTTAGCGAGCTAACGTGACTCTCTCTGTGTTTCTCCAGCCTTTTAGATTGTTCACGGTTTTCTCCGACATAAGCTGATTCTCGTTTGGCCTGACAGGCTTCAGCACATAAACCTTTATTGTTTTGTATCCTTACGTGGAGTTTATGTTGGAGTCTCTGTTGTGCTGGGAACCAGTTGTTTTATGGTGTTGGTGGACTGCATTTCATTAGCTGCGGTGTTGTTGCTGTAGTCTGAGAGAGGCTCAGGAGCACGCATGTAGCAACATCCCAACCCGGTGCCTTCACGTTAAAAGCAGAATAGTGGCTGTTCCAAGCAATAGTAAAAACAGGCGTGTGCTTAATTTCTAAGTGAGGTTAGAGCCTATTGACAATAAGGCAGTAAAAATTTGATTTATTAATAAGTGATTTTAATTGAAAAACAACATATAGCCCCTTTAAGGTTTATCAAATGCTTTTGGCTCAAATGCAAAGCCCAGCTGTGAGTGTTGCTAGTATCAAATTAAGAGATGATGTAGGTTCATGCAGTTGCTGTAAGTGACATGAAATGTTTCTTTGTGCAGCCTTGCTATTCTTTATCAGCTATTGTGCCACTTGGGAATTTATGAAGCCCACTGCATGAGTGTTCAGTAGTTTGAAAACCATGAAAAGACTACAAATATGGTAAATTAAGTATCAGCAGTTATAAAGGCATTGGATAAAAGCTGAAAGGTTCAGTCTGATCACTTTGAATCTCACCTAACTAATAAATTAACCTGTCTTGAAAATTAATAGCTCAGAAACATGCACAATTGTTAGTGTGCTGGCATTTAAATGTAGCATACAATTTCACAGTGACGCAGGGAGCACTGCTTGCCAATACAAGGGGTCAGTGGTTGGAGTGAATATTTGAAGGCTAGCAAGGATTAGGTACTGTTAAGTAGGAGTAAGGGAGGGGGAGGAGGCCAAGGTTTGTGAGAGGGAGAGAGGGCAACCCCAGAAATAAAAAGAGCCACGGGCCACAGAGCAAGGTGGAGGGAAGTAAAAGGGGATAGGAAGACCTGCGGAAACAAAGGAAGACAGGACAAGAGTAAAAACACCAACACTATCCCCTAAGCTTTGTGTTCAACACCTTCAACTGGACAGTCATATTCAGGTCTGTTCATCAGAAGTGTATTTTTCTGGGTTCTGTAACTGTACATTGAAAATATTGCTTCTATTGACTAGATGCCAGTTGAATGTGCTGAGAGAGCTTATGAAATGTGAAGACTTATAAGATGGGAGTGGAGATATTAAAAGAGTCACAGGTTAATGGGAAGGAAACAGAAACATTCTTTTAGAGGAAGGGTATGTCGACATATGTGCAGGTTCTCTGATACACTTAACCTGCAGATGAAATACAAATCCAGTGCAAACTATATGTACAATACTGACATATTCTCACCCCTATGTGTTAGCAAACAGTGTAATACATTGAGCAGACAGAAAATATTAGCTTCATGTGGAGTCATGTTTCTGGTCAAAAATACATTCTCATTTTAGCTCTGTTTTTGGTTCCCACCGACTACACAGAAAAATATCTAGTTCTTTAGCTGCTAAATGCACCACTGTATTCACCACCTAGTGGCAAACTTTGTCTGTCTGCTGTTTTATCAGAGCTTTTTCCAAAAAAGAAATAGCTGCTTACTGTTGCCAAGTGAACAGTAAAGCTGTGGGCCGCAAACAACAATGACCTGAAAGTCAATATAACTCTCTATAGAACAGCAACAACTTTTACCCCTTTCACATACTGATTTAATAAATTTTTAATAAAATATTTATTATAGCTGACATAATAACAGACATAAGATCACAGAGTATGGTCTAGACCTGCTCTTTTATGAAAAGCGCTATGATATAACTTGTTGTGATTTGGCACTATATAAATAAAATTTAATTGAATTTGAAGTCTAAACTGAATCCACATTATGATGTCACATAAAAGATAATAAAAACAGAAGAACTGCAAGGCAAATGTAGTAGGCTGTCTCCAAGGCCACTACTTAACGTCACTAATATCTTACTATCTGTTGTAAAAAAAATAAAAATATATATAAAAAATGTCTGGAGAATTAGCAAGAATTATTCACATTCTTAAGTGCATCAATGACTCAGTTTCAAAACAATGCCACTTCAAAACATAAATTTGCCTCAAAAAGGCAACGGACACCTTGATGTGAATTATTCAGGATTATTAAAAAGCATATATCAAAGCAAACTATCTGCTTTATTGATAGTCAGCTCTTTAATTCTCATCTCCTTCATGAGAACATCTTTGAAGACTTCATAGCTCTGCTCAGGTGACCTATTATGGCCCCACAAGGCAGATGCAACGATAATGGCAGAGCGTAAATAATGCTGTGGATGCAAATACCAGCCTGGCCTACTGCAATATGACTCAAAAAGTGTTTAGTTCAGTTGCTGAATTTAATGTGCAAAGGCATACAAGTGAGCTGATCTGTGTGTATTCCACAAAACAAATCTAATGTGTCCATCAGCCAGAATCAAGTCCTTGGTTCTGTTATCCTTATAACTGACAAAACATTACAGGTAGTATCTTACCCGGTTCCCTTTGAGTCCTTGTGGTCCTGCTAAACCCTGCAAAAAAAATGAGAAATAAGATGAGTGCATGTGCATCATTGCCTCACTTTGGGAAATGTGCTTGTTTGCCATCTTAGGGCATCAAATTGACATAAATGCAGTGCCCTTATTCATTTCAGTGAGGCAGAAAAATACAGGTTTGTCCGCGAAGAAAGTTAAACCTGGCTCAACCTTTGCCAAAATGCAATGCAAAAGTCAGAAAAAACCTGCACTGGAAGTCCAACCCGTTGGACAACCAGTTGGCACATATGGATGCATGGTCAAGGCCCGTTGTCAACAGTTTGTAATGAACTGGAGAGCCCCTTAGCGTCATAGTTCAATGCACTGGGGGAATACCTGTAGCGTTACTTTTGAACGCTAAAGGTACGTTTCACCACGTTAACAACGTGCTGTTTCAAAATTGCGATACTTTAACAAGTATTTTTATTTTGGAGGTCTAACAAGACATTGCATTTTTATTGTTTCAAAGTTGAAGAACACCAAGATTAAACCTGGCTAAGCAACCCCAAGGAAACCCCAAGGCTTTTGTTATGAAAACAAAAAATATTGTACAGAAAAAAATGTCATTGTTACGGCCTTAGAGCCGTCTGTCCTGTGTTTTGTCTTGTATGCCCCTCTCCTGTACTTCTTCTGTACTTCTCCAGGACCCTGTTTCAGAAAGCGGGATTAGTGAAAACTCTGAGTATGTTGAGCCCCCGATGAGGGAAACTCTGGGTTTTCTGTTTCAGAGACAGAGATTAGATAAACCCTAGATCAGTAACTATTGAAACTTTTCCTGTGAACGATGGCAAATTATCTGCTTTTGATCGTCTCACACCTTCTCCCACAAGTAAGTTTTGGGGAAAACATCTCTGTGCGCCCATGGGTGTGTTGGTCTTAAAATGAGGTGTGGTCAGACGCATTGTTGGTGCATTGCTATCTTGAGTCAGCAGAAAGCGATTGCGCCATTGACCAACAAAAACCTGGTCTAAAGTCAATGGAGCAGTATTTCCCTGCTATTTAAAGAGTGCCTTATTCAGATAGTATAGGGGGATTCCATTGATGTGCAGATCACAGTTATATCTGCGGATCAGGTAGGTCTGGTCATAAAAGTAAACATTCTGATGAACAGTAGGTGGGTGAAATAGGGTAAATTATCTCCCCATTCAGACAGACGCTGTGCACATTAACGCACAAGGTACAGCAGCATACCTTCAGTGATTATTTAAATTTTCCGACATGCGACAGGACTGGTCAGGATGCACTGACAGAAGCTTCTCTAATCATGACAGTAAATTAAAAGAAAAACATACATCAATACAACACACACTTAAGAAATCACCTGGAAGAGAGAGAGATGTGACCCATGACCAGTTCATCATAGCCTATAAAAATGCAGCGCAGTGAGGATCCAGACATTTCATAGAGAGGAATGTATATGACACGGAACTATCTGTCAGCCTGTCACTGTTAACAGAGAGTCTAGTCTAAAGTGTTCTAAAACGTGTTATGTTTTTTTTATAATGTGACATTCACATTCCATTTAAATAGCAATGCGCCAAGGTACAAGCACACCTGGCTTAATCAACACTTTCGCTGTCATCCACTACTCACTGTATAGTGGACTATATAGTGAGCTCACCATTTTGTAGGGCTGTCCGAATGTATGTATATGTATTATTATACCCTATATAGTCCACTCAATGTATCACAGAATGCATTTTGAAAAGTAGTGTACAACCGATGGTCACTAACCAAGCCCTATATACCATCATGCATTGCGCTGATAGAAAAAAACAGTCCACCAACTGATTGTCCGACGGCAATGACGTAATTAACAGTGCCAAAAAAAATGATTGGAGTAGTGTCCGAAGCCATTTTTAAAATAATGCGAGTGAGCTTACCATCCCATTGTCTCAATTTCGCTTCATATTTTCAAATTGTACAAGCATTAACAATCTGAATACTTTCAGTTTTCATTTTATATATATATGTTAATTGTTGATATAGTTAAATAATTTAACACACAGTTAAAGGCTATGGGCAGCTTTGGCTCAGGAGGGTTTCCCACTAATTGGAAGATTGGTGGTTTGATCTCCCGGCTCTTCCAGTCACCATGTCAACCAAGTGTCCTCGGGCAATGTACTGAATGTGTGTGACTATTCATTTCTGTTTCTGATGAGCAGTTGGCACCTTAGCCTCTGTCATCGGTGTATGAATGTGATGTAGTGTAAAAGTGCTTGAGTTGTCGGAAGGCGCTATACAGGTAGAGACCATTTAATTTAACCCCTTGACGCCGATTGTCGCGAATTCGCATCATACCTCTTCCTTGCAGACTGCAAGCCAAAATAGCACATGGATTCCCCCAATGCCTGTTGGTGCATATTTGATACGAACCTAGGAACCTTTTGCAAGCCCAGGTTTCTCATTTATGCCTGTTGTTTTGCATTTGCATCATACCTACACATACCTGAATTTATATCTTTTCTATGTTTTAAAGACAAATTAACAATCTTCACTAAATTTAACATCAGCTCGAAAGCAAATGAAAACACAATTTTTTTATTTTTTTTTGATCGTAAAAAAATTCAGGCGTTAAGGGGTTAATGGCATTGGATTTGGCCACATTGCAGCCTCAACCCTGGCTACATCAACTTTGGTATCAGCCTTTCATAATGTCAGAAGCTGTTAAAATGTCTCCTTTTGTTATTAATATGCTGCTTTCAATGAGTTAAAAGATTCTTCCTGCTGTGATAAATATTTAATATGGAATTACAGACTTACAGGGATGCCTTGTGGTCCAATTGGTCCAGGTAATCCCACATCTCCCCTTTCACCCTGTAGTGACAAGACAAAATGCAAAGCATATGTTCTCCTTAAACTATATATTTATTTCAGAATAAACACTGAAAAAAACCCAAAAGAGGAAACTCACTCTTTCTCCCTTTGGTCCTGCTGGCCCTGGCATACCTGCTGGCCCTGGCACCTTTAAAACAGAAAGGGAAAAAGGTTATCCGTTATCAGATACAAACAGAATTGTACTAGAGAAAATATAATCATTAAATGCTTCAAATCAGTAAATCAACAAGTTTTCTGGTGGACATGAATAAATGTCACAAAAGATAACATCATGGAAAGGCTGTAAAGGGTTAGGACATAATTTTCTATCCTAACACCTGTAGCATTACACCCAACTTGTTGAACTACTGTCCAAACAGTTAAAAAGGAGAGAAAATGAATAAAATGCCAACAGCTGCAGCAGTTCTCTGTGAGTAGCAGTCAAGATTGGAGAGGAAAACCTTGCATCTCAGGCATATACAGTGTGTACGGTGCTATCTGAAATACAGCTGTCCAAATATACTGTATGACATGTCAACATGCAGCAGGGACATCTCTGCATGCTCCTTTTATATAGTTCTTAGCAATGGCAACTTTGCAGCCCACTGCTGATACAGGATCATGAGGAAGGAAACTGTGGAGGCAGGACTGAGGAATGAGGATTCACACCGTTTGGGCATCTTGTATCAGACAAGAAGGAAATTCAAAAACAAGTTTCCATTTTAGTGGGCGCAGGTAGTAGTGGGACTGTAACCCTTACAACTACAAACCCTGAGCAGTTATGGTTTCTCATGATTTGTTTCAGCCAATATCAAGCTATTACAATGTTTTCTCATAGCCATAAATATCTTCTGGTGCTGTTTTAAAGGCAAAGGTTGGTCACACCAAATAGTGATTTGATATAGGTTTTTCTTCTGTTCGCTCACTTTGCATTTTGTTAATAGATAACTATAATCTATTAACATGTCTATTTTTGAAAGAATTCTTACTTTACAGCATTCCACATTTGCCTAAAACTTTAGCACAGTACTGTACAATTCCATAGCACTAATTCCATTGACACAACAAGAGTCATGTAGTGTCACAAAAAGTTTTAATTGCTAATTTGTCCTCTTTGATTGCAAGACAAAAAGTTTTCCCTGCAAGTCAGAAAGTTTTACAAGTTAAATAGTTTTGCGAGTCAAAAATGGTCAAAATACATGTTTACATGTACAATTCAATTCAATTTTATTTATATAGCGCCAAATCAGTCAATCAACAGTTCTCTCACAGCGCTTTTCATAAAAGAGCAGGTCTAGACCGTACTCTGTGATGTTATTTACAGAAGCCCAACAATTCCCACCAAGAGCAAGCACTAGGAGACAGAGACAAGGAAAAACTTCCTTTTAAGAGGCAGAAACCTCGAGCAGAACCATGGCTCAGGGTGGGCAGCCATCTGCCTCGACCGGTTGGGGTGAAGGAGAGAGAGGGAAAGAGAGAGGGCAAGAGAGGAACAGGGGAGGGAGGGAGGCAGCCTACACAATATATACACACAGAGGTACAGACAGTAAAGGTGATGTTGCTATAGACTAAATGAAAAATGGTATAGATATGTATAGTAGTGTTAATGATAACAATCGTACAGACTAGATGAAGGTAAGTTGACGCTCTTTTCAATTGAAGTGCTTTTAAATGTAGTATGCCAATATTTAATGATTATTTATATTTCCCTTGGCAAGGCCACAGACTATCGCTGTCTCCTTTTTAGAATGACATGTATAACAGTTAGCTAGCCATCTTGGCATGAAGCTTGACTGGCAGTGCATTTGTGCACTCTGACATGACTAGCTAGGCTAAGGTTAGCTGCTCATGTTTAACACATTGAATATGAGAAGCAGCAAAACAAATTGACTGACTGTGGTAATTAAAGTTTATGGTCACACAACAGTAATAGACTTTAGACTGTTAATATTACATTAAAAACATAGACTGTTATCTAGATAGATAGATAGAGAGATAGAAAGAGAGACTTTATTGTCATTCTATATAAATACACAAAACGCAGTTTACAGCAAACCATTGAACTTAGCAGCTTTAAAGTCGCATATATGCCAACATTTTATATATGTTCATATTTGTATAGTGATGTTTTTATAGGTATGGTGAGACCAAAGACAATTTTCCAACCTTGGCTGGACAATAAAGTGGTATTCTATTTTATTCTATTCTATATATAAATAAATAAGCAATAAAAGGTTTACATAAAATAATAAAATGAAGCAATAAAACATACATTAAATGCATCAGCAATATTAGCATTAAAAACTAACTGGTCCAGCAATTAGATAAAGTGCATTCAGTGTGTGTTAAGCACAGTTTGGCACCACATGATCGACATTTAAAATTTCAGCAGCATGAAAATTTCACAGCTCTCGGGAAAAAGCTGTAATTTAGGCAGTTTGTCCTCGTCCTGATGATCTTGAGCCCGCCTGAAGGAAGTTTACAAAACAGATGGAACCTGTGTGTGAAGGGTCTCTATTGATGTTCCTGGCACGTCTGGGAAGACAGCTAGAGTGTCGCTCAGATGGGGAAGAGGGGTACTGATGATCCACTGAGCAGTCTTCACCACCCTTTGTAAATCCTTCCTTTCTTCTGCTGTGCAGCTTGAGTACCACAGTGTACAGCAGTATGTCAGGACACGCTCAACTGTACATTGGTAGAAATCTTTCATGAGTTCATGGGGAAGTTTTAAGCATCTGAGTGTGCTGGGCCTTCTTCACCAAACATGCGGTGTTCACTTTCCAAGTGAGATCCTCAGATAAGTGTACGCCAAGATATTTGAAACTGGGCACTCGCTCAACCTCCTTTTGACTCGCAAAACTTTTCCACTTGCAAAACTATTTCACTTGCAAACCTTATAGACCTGCAAAACTTTCTGTCTTGTAAGGAAAACTTTTTGACTTGCAAAGTCAAAAAGCTTTGTGAGAGAGAAATATGCTTTTTGCTAGCATTAAAAAGACACAAAAATACCTTCATAAATCACCAAAAATGACCGTTAAATTCAAAATGGCCGACTTCCTTTTGGGTTTAGGGCATCGCTCCCACAGGCGTTTTTGTAAGTCTGGACATGATACATCAGCCACAAAAAATTCATACATTGCAAAAACAATGTGCAGTGGGGGCTGTTCTTTAAGGGGCAGCCCCCACTGCGAGCCATTTTGCCATGCCCATGTTTTTGTGCAAATTTGTGCAAAGTTTTGTGAGTTTTCGGTATGTTTAAGCCACCAAAAATTTACTTGTGAAAATACTAAAGATAGAAAGAATTCCTTTAGTTTAAATAGGGTCCTTGCAAGTTTTTATTGCTCGGGCTCTAATTAGTCTAATTGGAATTTAGACTTTGCAGAAATCTAGCCAGACCTTAATGATTTCTATGGGGTTCTGGTCATTACATGAGCCAATATAAACCATGGGGGCATAAGGATGATATACACAGAGAGTTGTAGAGTTGCCATGTATGGCATGAAAGTAGATTGTTGATGGCAGTGCATCCTCAGAACCCAACACTGAACAGTCCTGTCCTCACAGAACTACTTTAAGAAAATAGACAGGACAAGCATGGGAAGCTGGAAAGCAAGTGGACAAGCAGACATGGCAGACATCAAGCAAGCTTTAGCAGGGGGGTGGAGGAGGAAGAAGAGGAGGAGAAGGGTCAGGGAATTGGAACAGGACTTGTGCCACTCACCACTGGACCCGGACTGCCGTCTAACCCATGAGCCCCCTGTGCAGCGTCGTACATAGTTAGAGAGCAGAGATGGGGTTGGGATTGGGGTGGGGGGTGAGTGAAGCTGTGACTCGAGTGAGTTCAAAAACACATTCAGATGATGACAAATGAAGGGTGATGGACGTGGCAGAAGTGGAGGTAGAAGTGGAGTGACAGTAATTGTGAGTAACTTCTTTTACTGGTCATGGTAGATGATGACATTACGTCTATGGCCATGTTGTTGCTCAAAGCAATACTCTTTACTTTGACTGTTATCACACTGTCACTCACATTTACTGTCAGAATATAATGTCTTGTTTGTAGACATGAACATGCTGTACCAGCTGTAGAGTGAAAGTAATCAACAGCACAATGTAGGATTCACTCCTGTCCTAAAACTACACTGTATCTCAGTGGTCGGCAATAGGCGGCCCGTGGCCAGATTACTTTGATAGCAGCAAAAAAATAATTACTATTATAGCAGCTGGAGTGCTGAAACAGATCTCAGTCATGACAGCAAAAGTTACTCACATAATCACTTCCTCTTAAGTAATTGTGCCTACAAAATAAAAGCGCAAGAACATTTTTGCAGCAGTACATTATGTCGTGTTTAATTGAGAACTTTTACTCTGAAAAAGCCGTCAGCAAACTTGAGATTGTGGATTCCCCTGCAACCTGAAAAGCAGGAATTTCCTCTGCCTGGAGATACTGGAGACACGAAAATAAGTGTCCATAGGTTAATGTGGATGTACACACTCCTGCACATGCTTAATTGTGATATGTAATATGATGTCTTCACAATCAGTTTGTTGAAAAAGGAATATAAATACTAGCCACAAGTGAGGATTGAACACACAAACTTCAGAACATGAGTCCTCTTCACTACCATGTGAGCTAACCACATAAAAATTGGAATATAAATAATCAATTGACGATGTTCTGGACTGCCAGACTTATTTTCCATCCCGTTGTATGTGTTGTTAGACTGGTGAATGTGGTTCTTAATTTGCTTTTGTTTTATTTATTTGCATTCTCTCTAAAGTCTGTTTACAGTGTTCTCTTGGCCACGGTATCTTGGCTACGGAGATGTGTTGATACTCTTTCCACCCCTGGTCAGCTACGTAGCGTATACTTGCTCAGTCTTTCCATTATGAAATGTTATTGTATTATTGTAACAATATAATATACCACTCAACATGATCCATAGTCTCAAATGAAAATGAGTTACTGTGCAATTTATGATGTGACATTTCACTATCATGTGATGACATAAAAGCAACATCTGAGACAAGAAACATCAGTCAGTAACAAATGCCTAAAGTACAGTTAAAGCAGCATGGGTTTAAAGGCTTATACCGTATAACATGTCTGTGTTGAAGCAGTGACATAATCGTTAAAATAATCAAGATTAAGTGAGAAAACTTAACAACAGGATAGAACACAAAAAGATAGAAGACAAAGAATTCTGAAACAGACCAAGTCCAGTGTACTTACAGGGAGTCCAAGATGGCCTTTGTCTCCCTTTTCGCCTTTCTGACCTGTTGCTCCTTTTTCTCCTCTGATGCCCATGCCTGGTTCTCCCTGGGTAAAACCGAATCCCATCCTTACACTTCCATGCTTAGAATGGCTATGATGTTGACAACATACCGTAAAACTTCAATTAATAGCCCAGGCTTTTATTTGCTGTAATCACTGAACTCACACTCCCTATATTTGGGTCATGTGTCTATATGGAACAGGCCTTTAATTCCTTTCCTACATAACTCTTGCTCAGCAAAGATGGCCCATAGAATACTATCAGATTGTTTATTTAAACCAGTATGAATATTACTTAATTACTTACTTAATAAATATTAGGCTTTCGAATAACGAATTAATTATGAATCATTTATTTGATCTAGCTCAGAGAGACAGTACATCTAGGGCAACCTCACGCTCAGTAGATGGTGACATGGGACTGGATTTTCACTACGGTCCCAACCCACTTCCACAAAATAATCCTGTCGCATCTCAATCCCATGAGAGAGTAAAAAAAAGAGAATATTTTTATATAAAAAACAGACGTATGAGAGAGACTGACACATTTTGTTTTATTTATTTTATTTTATTTATTTAATAAACTGCATGGAATTAATTGTTCTTTTGTATTATCTTTAAAGCTTTGGCAATATTGTTCTTTGACATTCATGCCAATAAAGCAGAAGTGAATTGAACTGAGAGAGAGATTTTATTTTATTTATTTGATAGGCTGTATGAATTGAATTTATACAGTCAATTAAACATTCGGGAGAGAGAGACCTGAATCAAAGTAGGGGAAGCCTAGATATCGACATGCTTTATACAACTTTTAATAGGCTTGATCCAATGATGATTCACTGAAAAATTGATGGCAATCGGAGCTACGGTCTAGGAGGAGATGTCAAAAATGTGATTTTCAAAAAATTCTAAATGGCGGGAAAAAACTCTAGTGGGACCTTCATAGTCCTTGAGGCTTTTTTGTAGAGCACATTGAGCTGCACCTGTGTGAGAAATTTTAAGTCAATCGGACTTATGGTGTAAGGGGCGTGGCCTTTCAAAGTTTGAATTTTTAAGCCTTAATTATAGCGCCACCATGTGGCCGATTGGGTTCATATTTCAATGGAAGCTGATGCACAACATTTCCAGTTATTCCCGCAAGTTTCATGTTTCTAGCTCATTCCAGCTCACGGGAATTTGAGCCGGCGAGGCAACAAATAAGAGCTACCCTATAAGAGGTTTTATACATATATTTATTTTATAAGAACTATAAAACCTGTGTATATTTGTCACACCAGGCCAAGAAGGATAGGCGTCTAATTGGGAATTTTTTAATTGATGTTTTACGGTACACTGTAAATGGAGTCAGATTTAATAAATTAAGGAGCTGGTGGATATTATTTTATGGAAATAATATCTCACCTTAGGCCCTGGAAGTCCTTGAGATCCCTGTATGGAACAAAAACAGTGGGATTACAGATCATTTTATACTGTATCCTAATTGTTGCCAGTTAATACCACTGGTGTATTGGAATAGTGTCCAGAGATAAAAAGTAGAAATACAGGTTTGGCATGTGCATGTGATGTCCGCCTCTATTAGTGGGGCTTCAGTTAATGAACAACTCCATATGCATTTTTTTTATTTAATTAAATTTCATGTGTAGTTTTCAGAGGTCTCTAGCAGTGACGTTTCAGATTGCAACCGCTACATTTCCAAGTGTGTCCTTGTGCACGTGCTCTAACTCATGTGCAAGCACTGTGCATCAGCTAAAACGGAAACAAGCAAATCAGAGGTTGTGGAAATCATTTTTGTTGCATCAGTTTCCGAATTAAAGGTCCCCCCACATGTTTTTTTTTTACAGATATTTTCCTTTATTAGACCTCTTCTCAGGGCAGGTTGTGCTTGATTGACAACCCTTTCTCTCTCCTATTTCACCTGTTAAGGACTTACACTTACCATGTTATCATTCTATTATTGGTTCATAGGTTTGGAGATTACCTTTATTTTGTAAAGGTATGCTAAGAATCCCTCTGCCTCATTTCAAACAAAAAAAGCCAAATAAAGTGAAAACACTTGACAAATGTGCAAGGCCTTTAAGCATGAGTTAGTCTTTAGATTTAGATGTTAAATGGCACATTTGACTCACTGCTGGGCCAACTGGTCCTGGAGGTCCTGGAGGCCCTTGAGGACCATAGATCTAAATACAGATGCACACAAACATAAGCAACATTTTTTAGGTCAGAAAATATGCACAAATTTACCATGAAGTGCACTAATCAAACCTGTAGGTTAATCACGGACCTTTACCATTTCTGACCTTCCTCCTTCTCCAGGTTCTCCTTTGGGACCCTGTGACAAAAGATGGCAAAGACGCAAAATGACACAAAGTTGACGATATATTCCCTTGTATTGCCTTGAATTTTTTATTCACCTAATCATTTGTCAGACAAACAATTAGGTGAATTAAAAATTAACACTTTTTCAAACAGCTCTTGGGGTGAATACAAAATGTTCCCCTTTCCCCTTTGCCAGGTCAGACACTGCATCCAGAAAAATGCAGCCTGAGAAGTGCCATTGCATACCATTGCGCCAGATATTCCAATATGGCCAGGGCCCCCTGTAGCCCCCTTTTCACCCGTAGGGCCATCTAAACCCTACAATGAAAGGGATATAGACATCGTGATAATAGCAGAGCTTTTTAGTTCAGGGACTGATGAGTTGATCTTTATGTTAGAATCAAAGCATAAAAGACAAACAAGAAAGATGTGTTTTTATTTCATCCTCCTTTTCAAAAATGTTACACCAGTCACCACCAGGGGCAGTATACAATACTTATGTCAATTAGGTTCTTCTTTTTCGTTTTTGGTCCAGACCAGCTGGACCAAATGTCAACGGCAGCAGTGTGATCGAACCAGGAAGAGAGGAACGCAAGCTGGGAGTGTTCCTCACTGACAGAACACAAGACTCTGGTAAGACGAGAGGAGGCGGACTCTGTGTTTACATCAATGATGCTTGGTGCTCAAATGCAGTCAAAGTGGGTGAATAATGTTGACAAGATGTGGAATTTTTTTTTTAAGATGTCAACCTATGAGGGGTGAAAGTAAAAATTATTAAATGATAAAAATGGAGGCAACGAAAATGCATGTGAATTGAAAAATAAAGGGGTAAAAATAGATGTCAAATGAATAGTGATAAATAATCAAGTGTTTTGATTAATTTAAAGTTGTTAACTTTAAGTATTTGCACAGTATGTCACTCAGCATGTGAAGTAAAATGTGTACTTTATGTTAAGATTGTATTTTTGCGAAGCTAATGTCGGTTAGCACATTAATGGAGATTCACATTATATGTTAGCATTGAGCTAACCGTCAAAGCGCTATTTTTTATTAATATTATTGTTGTGTACCAACAGTGTGGATTTGTGCATTTTATATTAAGTAAATTTGGACTACTCCAAATTCCACTTCTCTCCCTGGGAGAAAGAAAGGAGGGGGTTGAGATATCAACTTTCAACAGACGGCTGAAGAGACCCCAAAAGAAAAGGTTGAAATTTTCCCTCCCTAAGTGCTGTCTCTGGGCAGTCTGATCGTAAAACTGGCACCTTTTGATGCGAAATGCGAAAGGGGTACACAACACCTGCCTTCCTGAGCTAAAACAATGTTTCATTATAAACTGTTGTTCTCTTTAAATAATAATCCTTGCTAAGTTAGTAGTGGCGTTGCCTCTATTTGATTAGTTATGTTACCATGTTGTTGCTATCTGTTGTTGATATTATTGCTGAAAAGAATCTAAATCTAAAAGTTACTTTTGCAGTGTTTTAATGTTCCAAATTGTGTGCCGCGACCTCAGCCTTCCCTCGTTTCAGCAGCTTACTTGTTTTATTTACTTTGTTAAAGTTATCAGTCCGAGTTACCCTAGTTTTAATTCTAGAACAACCAAGTTTAAGCTTGGTGACAAGCTAAATGACACTGAGCCCCGACGCCCGGGTCAACCACATGTCCTGCCAGCAGTAACAAAGGACGACGAAAACTGCTAACCCGAGCCAGGGTTGGCCCCCACTGCAAGTTTCTTCAAAAAGCCTACCAGAGGAGCCCCCCGGAGCAATTCCCCGGCAGAGAAAGCGACTGGCCGACGGCTTGAAGCTGTCCTAAACGAGAACGCATGGACTCTGCCAGTGTGAGGCTGTTTTACCAGCATGTCCAATAATTGGTTAGTCCAGCATATGTAATCCTTGAAACTCCCAGACAAATTTAACCGAGTTATCATCTAATTGCATTCATTAGCTGCCGTATGAGTCAAATTCTCCCGCAATAGACCTCCATTCTCATTGTTTAGCCATTGTTTATTTCTCTGATGTATTTACCCACATTTTTATATCACCTTTTAGTTAATAAATTCACTGTAACCAAGGAATTGTGTGTTGCCTATTTCTAAGTCCATACCAAGAGAATTTACCCCTTCCATATGAGACTGACTGACTGATTTAAGATAATTGAGCGATTATTAACTAACTGATCACTAGTAATTGTATAATTATTAAAAGCTACCCAGAGGTCCGGAGACTCTAGGTTAATTACAACTCCGGTGGTGCCCCGCGAGAGATTTATGGATTAATATTTTCTGAATATTAAAATTCATAAATGGGTATTAATTCTCATAAATTTACAAAAAATCATATATAGCATTAGACCTGCTACATTATGTATCGATATGATGATGCAACGATATATTGCCTATTTATATATATATTAAAACCTGAAATTGAAAACTTTTCTTTATAATTTAATCGAAAATAAAAACCATAGACTGTATATAAAAATGGACGTAGTATCAGTTTATGGTCGTCAGCTCATCAAGGTAAGACACAGGAAAATATTAAAATAACTCACATATCTGTTATTGACATTATACTTCACAAGGTTTTAAATGCATAAATGAAGTAACGTTGCAACACTAACGTTAGATTTTGTTGAGACCAACGTTAACAGTTAACTATGAATCGGTTATTAATTACGTTAACGTTTACTTACAGCTCAAACGAACAATTTGAAGCAAATCAATTAATCCTTTTACATAACGGTAGTTACGAGTCGTTTATTTGGACGTCGACTCAGTATGTTACCTGTAATAGGGGCGGCTGTGGCTCAGGAGGTACAGCGGGTTTGCCGTTAATCGGAAGGTCGGCGGTTCAATCCCTGGCTCCCCCTGGCTGCATGTCGAAGTGTCCTTGGGCAAGATACTGAACCCCGAATTGCCCCTGGCGGCTATTCCGCCAGTGTATGAGTGTGAATATTAGTTTCCGTTTGAGCACTTAGGCTCAGTGTATGAATGTGTGTGACTGGTGAATGCAGATGTAGTGTAAAAGCGCTTTGAGTGGTCGAAAAGACTAGAAAGGCGCTATACAAGTACGGAGCATTTTACATTTTAATAAACGTAATAAGCTAGCGGTAGAGTCCTTAGTTACATGGTGGAAGCAGAATAACTTGTAAAACAAGCCATGGCTGTTATCACATTAATTAATTCCCCACACCGCTATATTGAGTAACGCTGCTGCTGTCGGCAGGGCTGTGTGGGATTATTCTCTGGAATAGGACACTTGAGAGAGAAAGGTACTTTTTATATTGGTCACAAGATTCTTGTTGAGTATCTGATGCCTCCACGCCTGCTTTAACTGTAAGTAACGTTACTAGAACAACTTGGCTACTGGACATTTGACAGCTGATATAAAATTGTCTGTCTTAAGAGGACAACACAAAAACATTTAAAGACCGTCTCCCTTGTTCCATTTCGTTAAAAATGTCTTTTAGACAACGAAGTCCCATCTGCTCCCATTGTGGGGCTATTATTGGCCTCCCCCCAATCAGGAGTGTTGCATTATTGAATATAGGGTAAAACGTGTGCCAGTTACAAGCTATATGGCAGTGTGTTTCAGCCAATCTCCAAGTTTTGATAAGATGAGAGATAATGGGGCCAAAGCGTAGCTCGCAGTGTTTGCTAGAAACATTGGCAAAGAGAACGTCATGGAGTGACCAAGGCTCTGTAATAGCACTTTCTAAGGCATGCCAGCAGACAGACACATCTGGGCTAAACCAAGTTAGGAGGGGCCTCAACACAAAGGACCAGAAGTAATGTTTGAAGCTGGGGACAGAAAGGCCACCATCCTCTCTCCTCCCCTAAGGTGGACATCTTAAGTCGCGGCCGCTTGCCTTTCCAGATAAATTTAGACACCGCTGAGTGTAATTTACGCCAGTAGCCAGCAGGAGGGGAGAGAGGTAGCATAGAGCTCACAAAATGAATCCTGGGTAACACATTCATTTTAACCACTGAGATACGGGCATGAATAGACATGGGAAGACCCATCCACTTTTCCATATCTTTCAAAACATTGTTTAGAGCAACAGAATAGTTATGTTTCACAATCTGGTTTAAGCAGGGAAAGACCTCAATGCCCAAATATTTAAACTGCTTAACAATGGGGATGTTAGCAGGGATGGTTGAATCGTGGGCAGAGTCATTTAAATGAAGTAGTGCGGACTTTGACCAGTTACTTTTTGTACGCAATGTGCAGCACAAATCATTGGTAGAGAGACTGATCCTCGCTGTTTTCCAGTATCTATTAGGCTACTGTTTACAAAATGGGACATCAACAGGAGGGAATTCACACGGCAGAGCATCCCTGCAAAACTAGATGAAGGCCTATCGTGTAAAGTTATGTAGCCTATAATTTTAACGTAAGTTAAATAGGCTACATTTGTATAGCACACAGAAGCCGCTGCCATGGTTACTATCCATAGAGCGCCTGCCGTTTACTGGCGGAGCACTGTCTCCCTGTTGTTCACCTGAGGAGCTCAGAGGGGCACCGCGGGGCAAAGCTACTACGTAGAGATTTTAAGGACGTTACTAAGACTGACATCTTCCCCAATACTAACCAGCATGCAGTGTGTAGCTTTCCACTTCGCTATGGCATTTGATCGCTTGTCTTACTTTTGTTTATCTACTTCTCCCGCACGCTGCATCCAGTGTAGTCTGCCGAAGCCTCCCTCCACTGCTTGTCTGGGTGGGTAATTTGCAGGCTGATCAACATCCCACCCCTCTTGTGACCCATGGTTTGACTGTATGTGTATTCAGAGCCAGTGAGCAACGGACTTTCAAAATAATAATAATAAAAACTGCATTAATGTGCCATAAAATAATTGTTGGTGTTAATTAATTAATGCGTTCATGTGCCCAGCCCGAATATTTCCACATTTATTTATGTAAACTGTATGTTGATGTGTAGCACCTTATCACCAAAGCAAATTCCTCATACGTGTAAAATACTACTTGGCAATAAAGCTCTTTCTGATTCTTATTCTGATTTCCCTCCCCCCTCCCCATTTTGGTCTATCAGACCATATTTCTCTGCTTCCCCTGCCCACTCACACCCAGCTGATTAAAAGGGTCAAACCAACAATAAAAACAGTCAAAGTGTGGACAGATGATTCTACAGCAGTTCTACAGGACTGAGGGCACAGACTGTCCCCCACCCTGGAGAGTCACATCAAACCTTGAGGAATATACATCATCAGTGACATCATACATCAGCAAATGTGTTGACGATGTGATGATAACTTTGACAATAAAATCATTCCCCAACCAGAAAGACTGGATTAATGGAGAGGTAAGGGCTCTATCCAGAGCCAACAAAGCTGCTTTTTAGTCAGGTGACAAGGAAGCATACAACACTGCCAGAGAAACTGAAAGCTAGCATGAAGAAGGCAAAGACATGTAGAAAGACATCAACACCAACAACAGCAAAGATATGTGGCAGGCAACTTCTACAGAAGAGTAATAGAAAGCACCCTGACTGGAAAAATCACTAACTGGCATGGGATGTGCACATCCAGGACCGGTGGGCTCTGCAGGGGTTGATTTAAACTGCTCAGAATATCATTGGTCCCATCTCCCAAGCATCAATAATATCTTGAGGTGAGGTGCCTACGCAGAGCCCAAAGGATACTAAAGGACAGCACCCACTCAGTCATAGCCTGTTCACCCTGCTGCCTTCTGGGAAGAGATACACAAATATCTGCTGAGCAGCTTCTTTCCCCAGGCTGTGAGGCTAAATTCATTATCAGCACCATGTGAAACAGTTTTATTTCTATGACTTGTTATTTATCCACCCCTTTAGTGTATATAATGTTTTGCTTTTTGTGAGTACCACAAAGGGAACTACAACTTCATCTCGTTTTACAACCCTGTGCTGTAAAATGATACATCTACTTTGTACCTTTAATCCCCCAACAGCATCCAGACACCAACTTTACCCAGTGCCTAAACTTCACAGCAACTGCTAATCAGGCACCAGAACTGAGGACTTCCATTAAAGCAACAGTGTGCAATCCATGTGAACACTTACAGTACATTTTCCTTCCTTCTTCCTTCCTTCTGTGCATTTATTTTAGCAAACTTTTGAATGGAGGCCTTTTAGCTGCAATGGAGTATTTTTTATTGCTGCATTGGTAAAGGATTTGATTAGTTCTTCCTTTACTGACCATCCTCCCACAGACTGACTCACATGTTTCCAGTAATAGTCTGTAAACCTTACGGAGAGACTGCGCAATCCAAACAATATATACGTAGCCATACACTAACTGCTGTTTTGTTTTGTGTTTTCTTCAATATATAAAAACAAATAAAACAATAGCTAATAATCCATTAGCTAATCCATTTTCATAGCTGTATGGAAATGTTGCGCTCAGGGACACGATACTGCCCATCTTACTTCAAGAACAAACAAAAGAACATGTTTAAGCAATGTCTGCCTCACTAGTTCATAACTGTCAAACATTCAGATACAGGACTATCAGTATTTACGGTAGACTCTCGCACTAACACCATCCTTCAAATATCATAAGCCTTTATATGTGGTAACATTTGGTATCCCTGCCACAGTGAATTAAAAGTTGAACTCATTCCTGGGATCTCTTCCAAGCTAGTGAGTCTCTATTTAGATACTAAGAAGGCAGCTGCAAAAACCAAGGCCTTCCCACTGGATAATGATACATGTGGGACTTTGGTCTTTGGTCAGGAAACCCTAGGCATTGATGTGATGTTGATTAACACAGACACTCACAGGTGATCCAGGTGGACCCATGTCTCCCTTAGGTCCCGGGAAGCCAATGACACCACTCTCCCCTTTAGGACCTTTAGGACCTTCAGGACCGACTAGGCCTGTGGGACCAGGCTCTCCAGGCTTCCCTCTGGGTCCCTGAAAATACAAGAGGTCAAAGACACCTCACCCAATTAGTGCTGCTGAATCAGCATTCACAGTATTGCAATTGTGTTCTTTAGTTACTCAGCTGTCACACTATTGTCTTCGCTCTTTGTTCTCTTTGCACTTTAGTTTTTCATTATTGGGTGTGAAGGCAGGAAGCATTCACATCTTATGTACTTCTAAATATGTATTTTTATTTAACATTTATTACATTTTCTTTTTTGCTCAGTGTTGGATCAAACATCATCAAAATATTTGACAATACACTCAAAACCAGCTCAAGGATGTGATTTTTTTTCAGTATTTTCTCACCAACATTTTGACTGCTGTAAATGTTTAAAGTTTAAACAAGGAAAAATCCCCCAGTCTGGCACAGCAGTCTGATATCATTGCCTCAATTTGATAGTAGGTGAGTGGACACCACGTCTCCAAGTGGTTCAGTCAGTAAGTCACTTATCTGGTATTATAAAGCTATAAGTTTCAAATTCTGAGGCAGCCAAGTCCTTTTCGCCAACAATATGGCATTTCATGCATGTTTAGTGTTTTGAAGTGCTCATCATTCAATGCAAATGCACTGTTTAATTTCATTGTTTGTCCAGTGATTTTAGATCTTACCACTTGTTCCCATTTCAGTTTGAAAGTTTGAGATCAAATTCAGTGAACTTGTACAAATGGGGATGCTGGGCAAGTCTGTGAGAGCCATTTAAACGGGTCACATAATCAATAATTAAACTTGTTTTGAGTATGGTGGTTGCACCACCTATGAGCGCCGCCCATTCATGTAGCCATGCATACTCTTTGTAGGAGGTTTCCTATTCGTTCAGTGCCAGAGTCCACCCAGTTCTGGAAGCAGGAAGTGCTAAAATGTTTGGTGTGTTTCTGGGAGCGAGGGCAGTTGGAAGAAAGAGGAGAGCTGAGGAAAGAAAAGATCGTCAGAGAAACCCGTAGATAGTGAATCAGTTATAGTAAGGCGTTAATCCCTTCCGTGTTCATCTACTACAACGTTTCCAACTCAGCAATAACCTGCCAACAACTAGCCACCCACCATACTAAAACCGCCGTCAGCTAACCGGTCTAGAATCCATTACAGCCAGGCAGGTTGTAAGTGCTGAAAAAACTTCATCCCCTTCCCCTCTGCTTTCTATCTCTGAGCAGTGTGTGTTTTTTGATGTGGATGAACAATTACCGTTGAGGAACGGTAGCCGTTGAGCAACCTTTCATTATTTGATGGATGCAGTTTTTCTTTCTTGCTTCTGAACTGTGTTTGAATTGCAATGAACTGAACTTCTTCTGAATAGATCTGAACTGAACCCTAAGTGGAAATTTAAGTTGTGTTTATTGTTTGTGGAACTTATTTTTTTTAAATAAATGTTTGCCTTTGATTGCATATCATTATCGAGTTGTGGTTTTTCCATTATTGTTCATTTTCTTGGATTCAATAGGAGGGTCCATAACGTTGTGTATGTATCCTTGTGTGTCCTTTGGTGGGTTAATAAATTATTCTGAGATACAATCAAAAGTATCTAATGTGTCAGGAGAGAAACCTCACTGGCACCCCAAAATAACCTGTAGCCAAACTGTCACAATGCTTTTTTCAGTCCTTTTCTGAGTTTATAATGGATGTGTATTGTGCTTATAGTGTGTCACATGACCTGTGATGTCACCCACTCATCCTCTTCTGCCTTTTTGCTTTTCTCAAAACTTTCTACAACTTTCACTTCTGATACACAAATTTAACATGAATTAGTAGGCACATTGTTCAGTAGGCACTGGTGTTATTTAAGCCACAAGAGTTATGATATTTTGGCTCTGAGCAAAATAAGAAATATGAGAATTTTTTAAATGTTGATTTCTAGGTCATTGTTAATGTAACTCTTCAAGGACATTTATTCTTCTAATTAAACTTATTTCTACCATTTATACTTTTTAAATTACTGTGCAATTTATTACAACAGAAGTGAAAACCATTGACAATATTACCGTTAAACGTCAGGCTTTTCAGTTCTCAGCTTCTTTAGGTTGTACAGTTCAGCTTCCTGGATTTTCAGCAGTGCAGGCAATTCACTTAACATTTTCAGCAATCCTTTCTAAATTATTTCAGCATTCACACACAAAGAAAATGCAATTTTATCTAGCCACACCATAAAATCTAAAATGGGGATCTTTAATCATAATTCCTACATATTTGACATTGCAATTAATAAGCCGTGTTTCCACCACAGGAACTATACCCCTTTGGAGGAACCAACTGCAGGGACAAGAGTCTAAATTTAGCTCAAGGGTCTTTATATTACCCCCCCAAAAATTGCTCGGAAATAGCATCCAGCGGTGTGTTTACAGCTAACAACATATATATACGATAGATTTACAAAAATACAGCTTTATAAATACGTTTTTACATGGAGCCGAAGTCTGTCTCCTCTTCTCCAAAACAAACGGACCAGCCGATTAGAACAGGTACAGCACTTTAAAAATCAAGTTCCTCCGACGCTCAGGCAGGCACAGACGTGAGTGCTGCAGCTGATTTGCTGCTCTTGTCCGCTGGAAATGTTTTCATGACCTTCCAAACAGTTTCGATTGTCACACTGTGTGCCTGTCTGCTCTGTTTAGTTAATTCTCAGTTTTGTTATTTTAGTCTGTTCTGTATCTGTTCTTTAGTCTGTTCTGTCTTGTGGAGTTGCCTGTGTTTCTCAGTTCTATCTTGTCTGTTCTGTGTTTTGAGTTCCAGTTAGATTCTTCTCTTGTGTTTTGCAACCTGTTAGTGTCTGTCTGTTTTCCCCTGTTGTCTCTCTGCCTGGCTGTGCCTGCGTTGGTCTCATGTCTCTCACCTGCATATCCCCTTCCAACTCATTAACCCTGTGTATATATGCTTGCTTGTTTCCCCTCACTCAGTCTTTGTCCAGTCATTGCAGTGTTTGTAGTGTGTAGCCTGTCTTGCCCTGTTTCCCTGCTTTCTGGATTATTTCCCCTTCTTGGATTTTTCTTTGGTTTGTTTGAACTCCGCTCTGTGTACTGCATTTGGGTCCACCACCCTGCTGAACCGCACACCTTTGAAAGCGACTTTATGTTTGCGTTTCTTTCTTTGTGCCATAGTTCCTTAAAGAACTTGATGGATTTATTCAGTTTGTTATTAAATTTGTAACAGACTTTATCACGTGTCTCTTCATTATACTCCCCCAGAATATTACATTCCAATCAATTCTGATGTTCATTTGAACATTTTGCTCATGGATTGAGGTTACTGATTATGCCTGTCCATTGCTTTGTATGGCGTATATGTCAGCAGGTTAAATTTGCCTAATCTTCGCAGTTTTTTAAACCACGGTGGAAATGCCCACAACAATGGGCTGAAGGATGTTTTAGTCCTTGAAAAGTAAATCTTGGGACTCAAAGTCCTGGGTACTTTTGGTGGAAATAAGACTATAGGTTATCACCATCTTCATTAATGTAACAATTTAACTGCCTGGCTAGTAAAATAGATTGCTGATAAGTTTTACCTTTTCTCCGTCCAGTCCTGGAGAACCTGGTAGACCAACTTCACCCTGAGGAAACACCAAAGTTGGATTACCAACTAGGCAAAGCAGGAAATTGCCACATGGCCCAAGACCCACAGGGGTCCCCAACTTACTGTATATCAATTGGTTTCTAGTATTTTGATTTTTGAATTTTGTTGAGACGAAAATCAACGCTACATTAAAACAATGCAAGAGCCTGCAGGTGAGACATGAAATATGATTCAGGAAGTCCAGCTTGGCCAATGGCTTTAAAGGATGCCAAAACACTGCACAGTGTTTTATAACACTCATAGACAAGATTTTACAACTCTGGAAAGTTAACATTGTTAACTATTTACAAGTTAATTATTTTATCTTTTGTCATAAAGACTGTAAAGCCAGGAATCCACCGACTCCGGCTACGGCAAGTTATGGCTGCGCCACGGTTTTGATACGTCCGTAGCCTGGCGTCAAAGTCCACTGGAAGGGTCTCAGAAGCGTTTCAGCAGCAGAGCGTGCAGCCTGCCCCACGTTATTTACTTGTTATTAATTTGTCCTTTTTGTGCTTCTACTACCTTCTTCACAGCTCTATGTTCCGTCAACTTCAGGCTGCATTTCTCACAAGGAGCATTTCAGAATCAGAGCGTTTTACAGACTGATTTTGCTGACATGTTTAGATTTTGTTCATTTTGTAATCAGTGTTTGCATTTTGTGCTTCTACTGTGTTTAAGTACGCTACGTAGTTAAATGATTTCTTTTTGTGTCTGTTTTAACAGTGTTTATTGTTGTTTTACAATCGGGAGTCTCAACAGGGTGTTTTATTTTGAAAATTGGCTGGATTCTCTCTGCCGTTCTGTGTCTGACTTCCTGCCTGGTTCGATCTGCTCTGTGCTGCATGACGCAGCTAGCAGCCAAAATAGACCTACTACCTGTTCTCTGCGGAGCGGACAGCCGCTTCTGGGACGCGCAGACGTAACGCGCCGTAGCCAGTCAGTGGATTTTAGCCGTAAGGTAAATAGCTGAAATATGGCATTCACATTACAAAGTAATCTTCCAGGAATTTGTACTTGCATATATATGATTGGCCAACCCATTGTATTGCGGCAAAAGTAGAATGAAAGGGTTGCAGTTGTTTATGATGTACCAGAGGCATTTAAGGCTGGCGGCTGTGGCTCAGGAGCTAGAGCGGGTTGCCCGTTAATTGGAAGGTCGGCGGTTCAATCCCTAGCTCCCCCTGGTTGCAAGATACTAAACCCTGAATTGCCCCTGGCTGTTCCGCCAGTGTATGAGTAGTTTCCGTTTGAGCACTTAGGCTCAGTGTATGAATGTGTATGACTGGTGTTATGCAGATGTAGTGTAAAAGCGCTTTGAGTGGTCGAAAAGACTAGAAAGGCGCTATACAAATACGGAGCATTTGCATTTCTTACTACAACTAAAGTTAACTACAGTTATTGTTAGTTGGGCTCTGAGCACTGCCAAAACCTGTGTGACCTACAACATAATACAGTGGGTAACTACATTAAATTAACCTAACTACATATTTTACACCACAGGCCAAAGCACAGCGCTGGAAACTAACTACATGAAATTAATCCAACTACATGTTTTTTCTACCAGGGCAGTAAAAGTTTAGCTGGTTGATCACTTTGATGCTGTAAGCTAACATTACCATTTTATTGCCAATTACTGATCAGCTGATTATCTCACTAACATAACCGGCAAAGCCAAACCACAAGCTTTTCATTTACATCGCTAAAGTCCGACTAACTTAATTACACGTCCAGCAGAAAACAGACAACTTCAGCACCGCTTTGAAAACATCTGTCCCACATCAAAGCCTTCCATTTGGGAAAATCCACAACGATTATATCCGTGATTTCTGCCGTCATCTGTCTGCATCTGTTGCAACCCTGTCTGGCTTCATTGTATGAAGATCCACTGGCTCTCTCTCTCTCTCGTGCTAAATAACACGTGTGCTCCTTCATTTGTCAAAATGTCACTTCTCTTCTTACTTCTAATAAACCAGAAGACTACTCAGAGACTGTTTATTATTATTATTATTTCCTCTTCTTCTTCTTCGTACGCATTCAATGTAGTGACTGGCGTCTACACTGCCGGAATTATACAAGCAGAAGAAGAACACCGTGATGACGAAACGCGCTCTGTAGCACTGTTTGTCCATTGTCAGCTACTGTAGAAACATGGCGACAAAATAAGGCAACATCCATAGAAGGGGGGACCCGCAAAATGTAAATGTAAATGCTCCGTACTTGTATAGCGCCTTTCTAGTCTTTTCGACCACTCAAAGCGCTTTTACACTACATCTGCATTCACCAGTCACACACATTCATACACTGAGCCTAAGTGCTCAAACGGAAACTAACATTCACACTCACTCATACACTGGCGGAATAGCCGCCAGGGGCAATTCGGGGTTCAGTATCTTGCCCAAGGACACTTCGACATGCAGCCAGGATTGAACCGCCGACCTTCTGATTAACGGCCAACCCGCTCTACCTCCTGAGCCACAGCCGCCCCTAAGCCACAGCCGCCCCTAATAACCCGCGATTATGTATAAATAAATGGCTCATTCTAAGGTAATAAAAACATAACGGTTCATTACGTAAGGTCTTTATACACCACTAAAAACATAGTTAGATATTATATTGCATTTAAGTCAATAAATCCACAGAAATATTACACACTGGACCTTTACTCCTTTGACAATGTGTTGAGAAAGGGCCCTGCATAGTGTTATCTATTATTTCAGTTTTATACTAATATGGTTCATGATACTAAATACATTTGCATTTCATCAAATGACCCACAAACAAATTCCATGAAAAACCTAGGGCTAGTTAATCCAGCAGTCAAGCCCCCTCCCCCAGGGCCACTAACAGGTTTTTCTGGCTATGGGACACAAAACCTTAACACAAAAAACCTCCTACCTTGGTACCAGGGAGTCCAGGAGGTCCTGGAAGTCCAGGTAATCCAGGGGGGCCCTAGGGCAAAAAAAGATCAACTACTATGATATAATTTTTAAAATTACTGTGGTGACACATATCATGATAAACATAAACATCCATATACACACAAATGATGAAAGTACTTACCATCAGAGGTATGTTGCGAATATCCTGTGGAGTAATATTAAATGTATACATAAATAAATATGTTGTTAATAATACTGTTTGTTATTCTTTAGTTTTTCTAAGAAAAGTGGAAATAATTAAGAATTACACTGAACAAAATTATAAACGCAAGACTTTTGTTTTTGCCCCCATTCATTATGAGCTGAACTCAAAGATCTAAGACTTTCTCTATGTACACAAAAGGCCTATTTCCCTCAAATATTGTTCCTAAATCTGTTAAAATCTGTGTTTGTGAGCACTTCTCCTTCGCCGAGATAACCCATCCACCTCACAGGTGTGGCATATCAAGATGCTGATCAGACAGCATGGGTATTGCACAGGTGCGCCTTAGGCTGGCCACAATAAAAGGCCACTCGAAAATGTGCAGTCACTAACAATATTTTGAGGGAAATAGGCCTTTTGTGTACAGAGAAAGTCTTAGATCTTTGAGTTCAGCTCATGATGAATGGGGGCAGAAACAAAAGTGTTGCATTTATAATTTTGTTCAGTGTACATACATTTTCATTGTTGTGGATTTCAGCCTTTCCTGGCTCCCCAGTTGGGCCTGCAGGACCCTATAAGGTGAAAAGACCATTTATAAACTTAATCATGAACATAGTGATTATAAAGTAGACATATTTGCAACATGTCTGTCTGCCAGTCATGACTTACTCTTGGTCCAGTTGAGCCTTCAGGACCTATTTCCCCCTAAAGGTTAAATGGAAGTTTTACACTTAAACTCCTCATAAATATTTTCAACTCTTATTAGTATTTGGAATGTAGTATTCTTATTGAACTGTTCTTTTTAGTTATTTCAGAATGTTGTCTTTTCTTACCTTATCTCCCTGGTCGCCTTTGTCACCCTGTAACAGAGATATCATGCAGTGACTTCCATGAGCATGATATTTTATTGAAGCTGCACATCCAGAATACATACAGAGGTCTTAGCTGAATAGAGTACAACTTAATATTATTAGCCAGACAAATAGGGTTTGACTGAATATAGATTTTTGCTGTCCAACGTCATACTTTTAATCATGTACTAGATACTGATGTTTTCAAAGTTGCCAGTCAATGATATGTGTCAGTATACTGTATTTCAAAAGTTTCAATTTCTATGAGAAAACCCCTAAATTTCTGTGAAAAACCCTACATACTAAATGTGGGATACAAATACAAATACTGAATAATCCAACCACTATGATCCTCAAATATCTAGTACCAATAGTAAATCCCATAATTATAAATTCTTCTACACATTTTAGGTGGTTCACACAATCAAAAATTCACATGGAATCTACATTGTTACTTAATTGACCCTTCGCTAAGCCACACCCCCTTAGTTACTGTCTCCGCCATGCTAAAAGACCTGTTGGACTTTTAGCACGGTGCTGCCACTGTTTATTACTTACTTGCACTCCCTGGAGAAATATTGTCTAATTTATTGGAAAAAACGATCTCAGAAAGAAGCAGACAGTTTTGCAGTTGCATCAAGCATTTGAAGGCTGTATTCAGGCTGTCAAACTGACATGAAAAAAATAATGATAGAAGCTAATGCCTAACGTTACCAATCACAGAGTCACCACCGCATTACCTGACTATTGAGAAAGAGGACAACGATATTAAGGATCAACACTGTTCCTGTACAGCTGGGTAGGTCTCTGTTCACTATTACAATCATTAAAAAGCAGAACAGTAGGGTTATATTATGTTACATTCAGTGGTAAGTTAGCTAGTGTTAGCTAACTAACATTACATTAGGAACAAACCACAGCCTACATTTTCCTGGATTTGTTTTAGGTTTTGGAAAGTGAATAAATCGTACTTCTCCTTTCAACCTCTCTGGGTAGCGACTGTAACTATTGAAAGTGCCCCAGGAACAGCTTTGACCATACCTTAGAAAATACAGCAAAAAAAACCAAACTTGATAACAACTCCTGTTGCATACGAGTCCATGGAGCACAGCCATGAAAGTGTCGGACCTCAGGTAGAGCAAGTGATTGGCCAGCTGCGTATTCGGGGTGTGGCTTAGTGAAGAATCAATAAACAAACATTAACAATGAATCTAATCAGCAGACAGAATATGATTAAAGGACTGGAACTTGGAAATAGCTGATTACAGAATTCTTGCCTCAGTGACCACTTACTAGCGTTTTATGCAGCTTTCATCTGCATCTCATGGTCTGCATCAGTGAATTAAGTTTGCTCAGTTGACATGTACATAGCTCAGCTGTCATCATGTAACCTATGTATGCTCTGCAGCCTGGTGGTACGGCAGCAGAAACGTCTATATCTCTTCCCAGAAGGAAGCAGGGTGAACAGGCTGTGGCTGGGTGGGTACTGTCCTTTCGTATCCTTTGGGCTCTGTAGGCACCTCACCTCACCGGTATCACTGATGCTGGTGCGATGGGTACCAATGATCTTCTGAGCAGTTTTAATTACCTGCTGCAGAGCCCTCCAGGCCTGGCCGTGCACAGCCAGTTTGTAGTGTTTCCAGTCATGATGCTTTCTGTTGCTCCTCTGTAAAAGCTGACAAGAACTTGGCACTAGAATTAGGCCTTTTTAAGCTTCCTCAAGAAATACTGGCGTTTCTGAGCTTTTTTCACCAGCGTGGAGATGTGAGATGACCATGTCAGGTTCTCTGTGATGCTGATTCCCAGGAACCTGAAACTGTTCACCTGCTCCACCTCATCACCTCTGATGGAGACAGGAGTGTGTGTCCTTATTTCCCTTTTCCTGAAATCAACGATCAGCTCCTTAGATTTGCTGATGTTGAGCAGTAGGTTGTTTGTTGTACACCACTCTACAAGATTATGAATTTCCTCCCGATATGAAGTCTCATTGTTGTTTGAAATCTGGCCGATGATGGTGGTGGCATCCTCAAACTTCACAACAGAGTTCTCTCCATGTCGGGGAATGCAGTCGTGAGTGTACAATGTGAACAGGAGGGGGCTGAGCACACAGCCCTGGGGGGCTCCAGTATTGAGCGATGGAGTGGGGGAGGTGTGTCCGCCAATCTGAACTGACTGGGGTCTGTTTGTGAGGAAGTTCAGTATCCAGTTGCAGAGTGTTGTATTTAAACCCAGTGTCCTGAGTTTGCTGATCAGCATTCTGATGTAGGTGTTGTTTTTCTCAAGGTGTGTGAGGGCTGAGTGGAGGGCAGTGGAGATGGCATCCTCTGTGGATCTGTTGGTTCTGAAAGCAAAGTGCTGAGAGTCCAGGCTGGCTGGGATGTTGTTCTTTAAGTGCTGAAGAACCAGTTTCTCAAAGCACTTCATCAGAAAGGGGGTGAGAGCCACAGGGCGGTAGTTGTTCAGACCAGACACTGCAGACCTTTTAGGTCCAGGATTGATGGTGGCTGTCTTGAAGCAGGTGGGAAACCTCTCCTGAGACAGTAAATGTAAATGTAAATCCTCCGTACTTGTATAGCGCCTTTCTAGTCTTTTCGACCACTCAAAGCGCTTTTACACTACATCTGCATTCACCAGTCACACACATTCATACACTGAGCCTAAGTGCTCAAACGGAAACTAACATTCACACTCACTCATACACTGGCGGAATAGCCGCCAGGGGCAATTCGGGGTTCAGTATCTTGCCCAAGGACACTTCGACACGCAACCAGGGGGAGCCAGGGATTGAACCGCCGACCCGCTCTACCTCCTGAGCCACAGCCGCCCCAGTGAGATGTTGAAAATGTCAGTAATAACATCAACTAGCTGATTGGCTCAGGTTTTTAGTACATGGCCAGATCAGGCCCAGCTGATTTACTCATATTCACTCTCAGCAGGACTCTCCTCACATCTGCTGTGGATACTGACAGGGGCCGGTCCTCTGGAGGAGGAGTAGACTTTACAGCTGACTCCTTGTTACAGAAATCAAAGCGAGCATAAAAGGTGCTAAGTTCATCTGGTAATGTGGCCTCACACATGATCGGGGCGCTCCTGCTTTTGTAGCTTGTGATGTTTTTGATGGCCTGCCACATACACAGATTTCTGTCATCACAGAGATGTGCGCGCAACCAGGGGGCAGAAAGTTCTGTCCTCACGGTACATTAGTTTATACAGCATATCTAGCTGCAGTGTTGGGCAAATAACTTAGAAATTGTAATGACTTACTTTTTACTTATTACTAATTTAAAAAGTAATAATATTACGTTACTTATTACTGGGTATTAAAAATAAATAGTCACGTTACACGTTACAATTACTTTCAACGACCGCATCCCGGCCTTAAAAGTGATGGGAAACCTGTTCAGCTGCGCATTTTAGAAATAAATCCACTTTACTTGAACAATAATTAACCTGAGGAGTCAACAACCAGCAGAACTGAAAACACTTGACACATGATTTTAACAAAACATATAACATTTTTTAACACCACTGTCTGAGATTAAAAAAAATCAAGCAGATTCTCGACTTTTGAACTAACATTACTGTTTTGCACATGCACTTACCTAAAAGAAGTATTTAGTGCTTTTACAAAACACAAAACGTTGATTAACCCCACTCTCTGCCGAGTGGATACTTTACTGGCAGTAACGTTAGCTACCAGTGTTATGCCAAGTTTTGCCTGCCTGCTGAGAACTGCATCTCTCCCTCGTTCTTCCAATAGCTTTTTGGCTACATTGTGTCCAGTTTCGCTAACCTGCAGCGCGGTCGTGCATGTTATATTAATATGCGAAATGAAACACAAACAAACAGATCTAACTCTGAAATGGCAGTTTATTATTATGTCACCAAGAATTTACAAACAATGCGTAATCTGAGTTGATTACAGTGATTGACTACAGTCTTCTGACCGGCTACCAAAGTGCTTTTGCCGCCTGGCTGCGCGCGCATCCAGTTGTGATTGTATACAAGAAACCCGTCTATATCTTTGGGGTTGTTGGTGTTGAGGTCTCTCTCCAGTCTTTGCTGATGTCTCCGCTTTGCCTACTTGATGCCAGTTTAAAGTATCGCTCTGGCAGTGCTGGAGGCTTCTTTATCACCTGACTGAAAAGCAGCTTTTTTGGCTCTGGATAGAGCCCTCACCTCTCCATTCATCCAGGCCTTCTGAATGGGGAATGATTTTATCATTTTATTGACATCACATTTGCTGATGTATGATGTTCAAACAACTCTACTTCCACTGACATGTTTGCCTGCTAGGCAAACTGCAGAGGGTCCATCAGGGGCCTGTAATGTCCTCCAGGTGGGCCAACATCAGTCTCTTGAAAGATTTCACCAGGGTAATTGTTGAGCGTTTAAAGCATGAGGGGACTTCACAGTGACCTGTTGAAGATCTGTGTGAAGATGAGGGGCAGCTGGTCAGCATAGGCTTTCAGACAGGAGGGTGCCTGGTGCCTTCATTATCTTCTGTCTCTGAAAAAGCTGACACACATCATCTTCACAGATCCTGAATGCAAGAGAGGGGTTAGAGGGAGGGGCGAGCGATGGCCCAGGTTACAGTTGGTTGTGTGATATCTGAGTCAAACTGGGTGAGGGATATGAATGTTGGTTTATCAAACCTACAGCAAAATAAATTCAGGTGGTGGTTGGTGGTTCTCCAGAGTGGGGGGATGGTTTCCTGTAGCTGGTGATGTCCTGCAGGCCTCTGCAGCCTGTCATCTCCATGACAACTGAACAAACTCAATCTGCTGATGGAGACTATACGCTATAGTTGAAAGCTTGTTAGTAAGATAGTATGTGGACTGAACTTAGGATTACTTTGTCAAAAAACATTTCTGTACATTCCCACAGATCACAGCACAACAAAGAATGGTTTCTGACCAAACATTCTTTGATTTAGAATAAATTGAAGAATGCATGTATGAGTGTTGTTAGGAATGACTGACAAATGGTATTATAAGGCTAATTATACTATCCGACAGCACTCCAACAAACACCAATTGAAGCCCAGCTAACAGCACAGATAGGTCAAAGAAACACACTCCGTTTAAGTGGAACTTAACTGCCATTCACAAACACAAAAGACTTGTGATTTAAATCTGACTTTACAGATGTTCAGTTATAATAAGGATGTCAGGATGACCGAAGCACAACCAGACAGTTATGATGCTCATTCCATTCCAGGCCTACCCTGTAGCCCCTCTTGCCAGGGATGCCTGGGGTACCAGGGATGCCAGCCTGACCCTTTGCAGTGGATAAAAAAACAGTCATGACCCACTGATCTGAATGGGTACGTATTAATTGCTGAATACACTGCTCATAAAATGACTTTACCTTTAACCCAGGAGCGCCTGGGAAACCTGCTTCTCCCTACAATAGCCATGATGGCATAAAGATGGCAGAAGGAGTATAAGAACATTATAAGAAAAACATTTGATACACAGTTTTTCTTCAAGATGTTATTCCATCAAGATGAAAGCAATTATACATGCAGTTACATGGATAGATTACAGAATGGGTCTCTGTAGTCACCCTGCTGCCTTCTGGGAAGAGATATAGAAGTTTCTGCTGCCAAACTCAAATTCATCCTCAGTACTGCTCCACTGAATTTATTTCTGTTTACCATTTTTATAATTGCTTCTGTTTTAATGTAAATTGAATGTGTAGCAGAAGGGAGTTACAAAACTCAATTTCATTACAGATTACCGTAATGATCATTGATGATTTATGAATTGCAAACACACAATCACAGACATAGCTGGTTGGTAGCGGGAGTTCCTACAGTACTGGAGTTTTCTCCTGGTAAATGGGTATGCATCAACTGTGTGTCTGATGATGCTTTGATATAACATCTCATAGATGTAGACAGAGGGTCACAATTTATGAGTGAGAAATTAAGAAGTGTTATCTAAGAGGGCTCTGAAATAGTGTAAGTAAAAGGGAAACAGATAATACAGGAATCCTTTAAACAAGCTCCTTCAAATAAAAAAAAATATAGTGAATATTTTGCTTGATTTGATTAAATTCTGTTGACTAACTAATCATTGTCCCATGTGTCCCATCCAAGTTGGATGAGGAAAGTTGGTTGGTGTGCAGAGCCACACATTTACATTGCACGTACCTTATCTGTACCGTTATAGTGTACTCCAACTGGTACAGATACTGATAATATTGCTACTGCTGTGGCTACTACTACTGCTGCCACTATAAAAAACTAGCCTCTGGTACTTGCCTCTTAACCAACTTTTCCTATGGCAACAACTGAAACCATACGACAAGCATTCATTCGCTGATTATGTGTGTGTGTTCTGAGAAACTGAAGTTCTTTTTCAAGACTAAGTTCTAATCACACATCATAAGAATATTGTAGCCTAATAGTGTAATTAAGGCTGCACTTTTCAGACTGTCTGCTAACGTACATGAGACTGTGATCAGATAAAACATTTCTGGACCCTGCTACCCTCATTAGAGACACTCCCCAACAACCAACTGCCCCACAGAGAAAACAGCATCACCCTTTGGTCTGCTTGAACCATCACTCTGGTCACCTGAAAAGTTGAAGGTGTCATTTGTCTGCTATGTTTCTAATTTAACATCTCTCCTTTTCTATGACAAACAGTGGGTGTAGGACCAAATTTTTTAATTTAATTGGCAAAATATAAATAAAATTGAATTGAAAATTGAATTTAAATGAATTTTGTCCTCTTTCCTCTTGCCTGTAATTAGTGACATTGGATTTCTGCTTGCTCCTGTCTTGTGTATAAAGATATTTTGGCCGGTGTTACTAAAGGAAAGCTCATGGGGTGTTCCAAAGAGAAATAATATAATCAAGGAATCATCCCTGTGAGAGCATTTGGTATCTTGCTCTGGACCGAAGTGTAAGATGGATAAATGTAACCCAACCGAGTTCAGGAAATTCTGATTTTTCAAAAAAGGCTACGAGACTTTCTATAATTTACTTACACTACAGTTAAAATGGACATTAATCCATTCAAGGGTAGTTTTGTTCAGTGTTTCATTTCAATTTGTCTACAGAGATCCAAAACAAGAAGTGCGCATACATAAATGTTCACTGTGAAGAATAATATAACAAGATTGCATGGCTTCAACACTGGAGAACTTACAGTAATGGCTGGTCTCTCACAGGGAAAGTACAATCAAAGCTGCTTTCAAAGACAGAGCTTATTGGATCAGTCTAAAACAAAGTAGTGGAGTATTTTACCACAGTGACATGATGGGCCTGTTGCCTGCTGGAAGCTTTGGAACTGAAGAGGTTGAGTGTAGAGGAGTCATCATTTGTGGTCAGCACCATGCCTATATTAATGGTTATTGTGTCTACCACAAAACTTCTACCTGGCACTTTTTATTTCACTCCTCTTGATTCACTCTTTATTTCACTCCTCTAGGTTGATGGAAGCTTCAGCTCCTTAGACGACCATACACTAACATTGAAGGATGAGCCAGTGAAAGTGCTTTCTCTTTATTATTAAACAATAAAAGTTTTCTAGATCTCTGTTTTCTGTGGATATGAACAAATATGCAATTTCCTGGAAGGTTTTACGCTTCCCCGCGACCCTGTACACAGGTTATGCCGTTTTCGATGGATGGATGGTTTTACGCTTGTGACATTTTCTTTCTCTTTTCCCTATCTGTCCATTTCTGAGGCTTAATGGAGAAAACACACAAATACACGTCTGCAACTGCTATTGCCATATTACCGTGGCCAAAGGAGAGCTGCTGTAGGTGCATGTCCGCTGGGACTCCTTCACCAAAACAAAACTGGGCTTCAATTTGAAGATAACCTGAAACTGTCTCTCCAGATCTACAAAGTTCTAATTAAATTTCAAGTTGTGCACTACTTTACTATAACCTGAATCCAAAAATTTTGAACTGAATACGGAACCAGAATCTTAACATAAATAGGTTGTTTTTTTGTAGTATTGTTACAAAAATATGGCGGTTGATTCTTGTAGTAAGTGATATGAAAGGTTTTTTACAGGGTCTGTCTGAACTCAACAACTGTTGTCCAGCAAAAAAACTATGTCCAAAGTACTGAAGTTGATTTTGAATCTTTAAGACTGATTTGGGTATCTGATCAAAATAGTTTGTGCTGGGGGATCAGGGTAGACTGTAGAGGAGACTCAGGATGCATTTCTAAAATCTTGGCTATGGCCCTAAACAGAGCATAGTAAATGGGCTGCAAACTGTATTGGCAGCTGTTCCTAATATTTTGTGACAATTCAGAAAAACTAAAAGGTAAAATTCTTACCTTAATTCCTTGGTCTCCCTTAACTCCCTGTGAAGCAAAGCAGAGACAAATACTATTAAAGTAACAACTAATAAAATTCACAGCAATCCACTAGATGGAGCACAAGATCATCTGTAAGTATTTGAATTAGCGGTCTCGTTCAAAGCCTCATACAATGGATTTGCATTCTGAAGGAGTATTTGCATCGTATCTATGAAGTTATCTAATCCCTGATGTGCAGCCTCTGGGGTAAAAAGACAGATAACAGTGCCTGTGAGCTTAGTGACCTTCAACTCAGTAGTCTGTTAAAGTTCATGGCAGAAAACAGAAACAGGATTCTGGACTGATTTCATTGGGAAACAAAGCAAGACGGAAAAATGGATATGTGGATATATATATATATATGGCAATAATCTGCTCACAGCACCTAGGTTCTTCCAGCAGTCCCAGCTTCAGAATAGATTTCAGAGGGACACTACTAAAACATAGTGTCTTCAGGCAAAATCACTTTCAGAGAGTCAGGTTGTAGATATATACTGTGATTTTGTAGTGAAACACTGTTTAGTGATGATACCCAGTCAAAGCGCTTTTGCTCTAGTTTAGTACAAGAGTAAAAGTTCTGAATATATGAATTATTGAAGCCTTAGTCTTAAAATGTATTCAGTTTCTTTGTAGAATCTTTGAAGCTACACTAACGTAAATATTAATATTGAATTAAATAACTGTAATGCAAAATGTGTCACTCTTGTGATGACAAAACACAGAGAATCATCACTAACTGTGCAGGTACCCATTTGTCACCTAAGTGCTCCATACATTATTTTGTGGTTTGGTCACATAGAGTTCCTCATGCATCGTGCGTGGTAGTATTGGATTAAAAGGTTAGTTACATCCCAAATAAATCTTTATTCTTTCGGAGGAAACAGTCAACACCTGTCAGATCACGGCTGCAGGATAAGAGCTAAAAAATAACATTCAGATTCCCTAGGCATTGTATATGTAATGTTCTATGACTATATGATGGAATAACATACAAATACAAATGGGAATACTGTGCTCTCGAGCTCTATGGCATTTTTTTGCCTCTTTCAGCTCACTGTTTTGTCTTTCAATGCCCTCAGCTGTCTACTCAAAAACATTGATAAAAACACAATGTTCATATCATATTAATATCAATCAATCTTAAAAGTAGCTCAATACCATTTACCATAAAACCTCTTTAAACTGTAAACCTTTTTATTCACCGCGGGAGTTTTCCTCGTTTGTGCTGGTCACTATTTACATTCCACCTCAGGCCTGTGTTAGTGAGGTTGCTACACCTGGCCGACCAGATGACTAATATGGAGAAAAAACATCCAGACTCCCTGCTCATTGGTCTCGGGGACTTCAATAGAGCAAACCTCAGCCATGAACTTCCAAAGTACAGACAGCATATTAAGTGTCCCACCAGGGACACTAACACACTGGACCACTGCTATACTACATTAAAAAACGCCTATCGCTCCGTCCCCTGAGCAGCCCTGGGACTCTCTGATCACTGTCTGGTCCATCTTATCCCGACACACAGGAGCAACCCACTTTGCCAGCTAGTGAAAAAACAGATGATCAACCACCATGATGAATTAATGTTGACATTATTATTAGGGTTGTCAAAATAATAGAATAGAAAAAACAACACCTTAAAATTTGAACGCAGATTAATCTTTGTGATCGACTGGCCGGCCAGCTGCAGCGGAACGCAGTCTGTATGTCTGTCAGACTGGGCCAAACTAAAACATTCAATTTTGAGGGGGGATACGAGCGCCCCCTCCCAAGTGCAACAGAGCTGGTGAAAAATCAAGAATTTAAAAGAAAAATGGTACAAGAGGCATTTGTAACTATTTAGCCTTCTGACTGACTAGACACATGACATGTTGGTAGTTAACATTTTACTGTGACTTAAGTTTTAACCAGGCTTGACCGGTCTTGTTCAGTGCAGTGGTGACTTGATTACACAAACTGGCAGGCAGGTGTCATCCTAAAGTTTCTTGAAGGTCTTCAATACCACAAAAACACTATTAGTATTTTTTATAAAAATCGTTGTGCCATTGTTATTGCATATGAACAGTGACAAAAAGGTTATGAATGTATGGGAAATAAAGATATTTAGCTAAATAAGTTTGTTAATTATCATTGATGCACTCATCTACCAAAATCTATTTGAATTTAAATATTTTAAATGCTTATCACGGCAAATATCGATGTGATTCATTTTGATTAATTCCATTAATTAATCACAAAACTACAAACAGGTTACAAAACTTGTAATTAATTAGACTCATTTTTTTAATTGCTTGACAGCCCTAATTATTATATGTCTATTATTATTATTAACAAGGTCAAACTTCATTTAATACTTTAACTAACAGTGCATAAATTAAAAATAAATGACATTAACAAACGCTGCTGGCACACTGGATGTCTTCATATTTGTATCTTGACACTTGCACAAGGTTGCCGACAATGATAATAATAATTTACTCCTGCATCCTTTGCACTCTGCTCACTGCACTATTTGTCAATCTGTCTATGTTGTTTTTGTTTTTGTTTATAGTGTGCTCTATTCTGTAGCCTGTGTTTGATTTTATTATTGTGTTATTGTATTATTGTATGGGTAAGCACATCCTGAGCAATGTACAATCCTTAGTCAAATTCCACATACCTGGCAAATAAATCTGATTCTGATAACACAAATGTAATCTTTATTATTTTGCTATATTACTATATTCCTTTCTTTATTTTAGTCCCACCACCTTTTCACAATTTCAGAATTTCTCCTTTTGTCATCTATATAATAAATGTCCAATCCAAAAATGTGACAGCAGCTGCTATGAGGTTATTAACAGACATCAAAGATTCTCAGCCTCAGCTTCCCCCACTGTCTATTCATCCATCATCATCCATCTTTCCATTGATCTTTCCACACCTCAAACCAAGCAGCAGCTCACATCTAGAGAACATGTCTGCTGTGTGTGCACCATTCTATACCACCCCAGTCAATTTAAAAGCTATCTGCAAAAACAATTTTAGGTTAGTTAGGTAGTTAATGAGTTTTCAACAACAGCGCCACCTAGTTGCTGGTTGGTGCCAAAGTTTTTGCACAATCTCCATGTGGCACAGGAAACTACTAGCCCAAGTCTGGTGTTAATCGAACTGATCTAAAACACAGATAGATGCAAAGATATGACATCACGCCCTGTTTTGATGGTATCCTACAGAAAGTTGTTCCCTTATAACTTATTAACTTGTTTTTTTTATCACACATTTAAAAACTTTTTATAATGAGGGTCCAGATTCTACATTCTTCACAGTTAAACATGAAAAAGTTACAACAGGTAGAAAGTGGAATACCTTTGGCCCTTCAGGACCTGGTGGGCCGACATCACCTCGATCACCCTGTGGAGAGACGGAAAGACAAATGTTAACACTGATTCCTCCTCCTTCCTCTCCATCTGTATGCATTCATATCCCATCAATGTATGTTACAAACTCAACATGTTCCCCCACCCTTAGTTTAATGCTTTCTTGCCTCTCCCAATGCACTGAAAGTCCTACTGTGATCCTCGGTAGTAGTCTTCTTCTATTTATTATTATTACTATTATAAATTTGGTCGAAAAGTCTTTTTTGCTTAGGAAGGTTCCTAACTGAGAGCTGGTCGAATTCCCTAAAATCTTAAGAAGGGTGCTTCAGTGCTTCCTTTCTTATCTCCTTTGGCATAGGGTACATTGGACCTTCCTTTACGAAAGGAAGGGAGATAATGCAGTCCCACAATTCCTTGCGGCAGCAACATTTAAAGCGACGCACGTTCTCAAACTCAAACGATAAAATCCATTGACCACATTTAGCAAAATCCTTGATATACAGATGCACATTATGATTCTTGAATAAGACTTTCACAATTTCCTTCTTTCTTTTGGCTTTGCAGTAATCTGATTCTGTTTCAACACCATTTTATGTTTCGGATTGTTGAAATATGCTATGAAGTGTTATATTTGAATTTTTACAACAAAAAAATAACAATAAGTTAACAATGGCTATTAAGCCTTTTCTCTCTGCATACGTCTGGAACGGTCCACAATAACTGAGACCCATATGCAAGCTTATTATGAACATAGTAACGTTGCAGTGTGTAGGCTCAGTTTGCATTAGTTATTTTTGCCCGATGTATTGCGGCCTTCAGCAATATCATTAATTAATTTTACTTCAGTCACAGATACTGACACCCTTGCCTTAATAAAGGCAATGATCAAGATGGATGACCACTACATCTCTATGCCACATACTGATTTTAGATTGGTTGCCAGTCCTTTGCCGGGCCAACACATACACACCCACACTCACACTCACACTCAAGGTTCGAACCCAAGACAGTCTTGCTGTGAGGGAGGTGGTGTAGTGCTAACTACTGCACCACCATGCCACCCTTGTATGTCTACTGTCTTTCTAAAATACCAGTTTACTATGCACATGTGGCTGTAAAGTATTTTACTCCTGAAAACAATTTTAAAAAGTACAACTTCCTTCTGTTTCTGCATTAGTCCCTGCAGGCACTTGAAAAAACACTGGGGCAATTAGATGGTAATTGCTTTCTGTTCACGATTAAAAATCCATAAATTACTTATGGATAATGTGTAGAAGAGAGCACACCTTTTGTCCTGGCACACCTGGCTCACCCTGGACAGAAAAAACAAAGTGTGAACATACGAAGCCAGTATAACAAATTCAGTATTTTCTTTGACAGATGTACAGAAAAACAGGCGGCTGAAGCTTGATTTGAGGGCTTCATAGTCATGCCAAATGCTTCTCCGGTCATGCTGCAACCCAACTCAGCTATTATTGCTCACGCTAAAGTCTATCATATGTGAGAAGCAGTCCTGTGAGATTCAGCTTGATTTCTATAATGAGGGCCCATTACAGGACAGTGTACGTTTCTCTGACTTCACGATCTACATTCCTCCTTTTAAATAATCCGTGACAAATTTATTTACCTTCAGTCCTGGTAAAAGCTGTAGAAACAATGTAGAAATCATAAGAAGGTTAACGTCACACCAACAAACTTCCACTAATTAATTAAATGATTCTGGAAAAATACAGGATGTGGACTCATTGTACCAAAGCTTACCCTTGGGTCTTTTCCTGGTTTGCCTGGTTCACCAGACTTACCCTTTATGAAAAGACCAAATATTATTTAGACAGAATCTACAAAACTATCTACAATACCAGTTCATTTGAATTAGCAAATATGCCTTTGGTGAATATAGTGAGAGCATGAACGTAAAATCAAAATAGTTTTTCCACTAAAGTAATGAAGTAAAACTATCACGATAGTAAAGAAAACTTGCATCAGCCTTGAACTTGCACCTTAAACTTTTAAAGACTGTACTTATGTATTACTGTATTACTGTGGTTGCCGGTGTAGGGAAGTCAAAAAGTATTGAGACAGACAAATGGGCTGATTCTGAGAGATCACATTTCTCCTGTCTTAGCTTCTCTGCATTGGCTTCCAGTAAAATCCAGAATAGAATTTAAAATCCTTCTTCTCACCTACAAAGCTCTTAATGGTCAGGCACCATCTTATCTTAAAGAGCTCATAGTACCTTACTACCCCACCAGAGCACTGCACTCCCATTATTGAATGTTACTAACACAATTTCTCCCCTTTCCGGTAGTCTTGTGCTTTCTCTTCCCTCTCCTCTCTCCTCCTATCACTTCCTGCAGGTGTTTCTGGCTCTGGAGCTGTGGAGTCTGGATCTGTGGTTGCGAGTCACCTGCTGCCCCCGTGTTCCTGCTCGACACCCTCTGCTACAACTATGGTTACTAGTTCTATTGTTATTATTGTTATTATAATCATTAACATTACGATTGTTATCATTAACACTACTATAAATATCTGTACCATTTTTCATTTAGTCTATAGCAACATCACCTTTACTGTCTGTACCTCTGTGTGTATATTGTGTAGGCTGCCTCCCTCCCCTCTCTTTCTCCTTCCATCCCCCTCCCTCTCTCTCTCTCCCTCTCTCTCCTTCACCCCCAACCGGTGTAGACAGATGGCCGCCCACCCTGAGCCATGGTTCTGCTCGAGGTTTCTGCCTCTTAAAAGGAAGTTTTTCCTTGCCTCTGTCGCCCAGTGCTGCTCTTGGTGGGAACTGTTGGGCTTCTGTAAATATCATCACAGAGTACGGTCTAGACCTGCTCTTTTATGAAAAGCGCTCAGAGATAACTGTTGTGATTTGGTGCTATATAAATAAAACTGAATTGAACTGAATTCTGATTGAACATCAGTGAATGCTGTTTCGTGCAAACGTTGAAATGATTTTTAAGGTGGCTAATTAACAGGTGTAAAAGTAGAATTTTAATTTCTGGGTGATCTCAGACTGGGACTCACTGGTGGGCCACTGGCTCCATTCAGGCCTGGGGTCCCTGGGGGACCGGGAGGCCCTGGAGGTCCTGGGGGTCCCTGCATGCCAGGCTCGCCCTGCTGAGAGACCTTGAGTTACAACCTGCCATGCTGGAGCATGCCTCGCTACACCAGCCATGCCAACACAACAACTTCACACTATACAGCAAATAAATACCACAGAGGGTTGCAGAGAGGAAGGTTATCTGGGGAGCAAGGCAAGCAGGTTTAATACTTAAGCATGAAGATTCATTCTTGACCTTATTTATTTTGAGGTAAACTATTCTAAAGCTTTCTCTGGCCATCTTCTGACTTTGAGCCCTTCTCTTTAAATGGGGTCAAAGTACCCAGAGCCCCCCGCCCCCTGGTCATACCCCTGAGGGCCAACCTTACCAGCACCAGTAACAGACCATATCAGCTGGACATTCACATCCGATGCCAGTCTATCCTTGAACAGAGACAGGGGTTATGATTTCCTGTTATGTCACCAAAGTTGGTTACTTAGGTCACATGATGACACTGGTGAAAGTTCCATTAGCTGACAAAGGCCACTGGAGTTGAAAAGGGCCAGAGAAAGCTAGTAAGTTCAGTTTATATATTTTAAAGATGATGTTATAATCTTCTCAGTGACTACCCTTGTTGGAAGAGCAAGGCACTGGGAAATAAGCGACGCTTAGTTATAGTTTAGTTTAGTTAGTTTATAGAGTTTGAACGTTTTGACAAGCCACACAAAATGAAGGCTAATGTTCCTGGATTTGTAACTGCATACATTGTTATTGTTTATATTTGAAATTAATTGATGTATTGCATGTTGATGCTTCTTGCAGCTCCTTTGAAATATATGTGTGATTATTGTGATGACTACCCACTGCCAGACAGAGATCTGGGTTATCTCAAACCGAAAGCACACACAGTACTAAACAAAATCAAATAAAGGAAATTTAGAGGGCAAAAAGTTTGAGATGCATGATTGTATGATGTAACATGATTTATTGGCAGATGGGGTCTGACTTACAGAAGTTCCTAACACAAAGTGCTTGCCTTATTTAAGTCACTCAGCAATTACTGTGTTACTGTGGGAGACCACACATGTACAGTAGCTCAGGACCAGCGAGCACTGCTAAGCTTCTATTCTGAGATAATGTAGAACATATCCATTCACATTAGCTCTGTATTTTAGCATTCTTTCTCTGCACTGCAGTGCAGAATTTGTCCAGATATGATTTATGTCTCTGGATATGTTAGGCTTCTTCACAGGGGTTATACACACACTGTTATGGGTAGACTGCAGCTGCCAATAGCTGATAATAAAATGTTCTTCACAGTTTGACCACATTTATGATTCTAGAAAACAAAAATCAGTCATGGTTTTATTTATATCATGATGGAAATCCTGTTCTATCAGATAGTCAACACTGATCAGCTGATTTCTGATTTATCACAGAGAGGCAATATGAACTGTGTACAGTATGTTAGTCCAGCTTGTGTTTTCAATCTATGACAGCAACTAGTGCTCTCAAAACAAGGTATTGTGTCATGGCACAGAGTAGACTGTACACCTGGGATAAATAAGACAGAGCACATGCCAACTAGGCCAACCTGTGCCAGAGTGCCACGTGACCCACAGGGCAGCACACTGTGATGTAGTATCTTCACATGTCTCTTTGAATTAGTCAAGATATATGGTGATGTGTGATCAGCTGATGTGATGAAGTGTTTTAGTTGTATAATCTTATCTTATCTCATAGTTTATGTCCTATAACCACAATCTTACCCCAAGGTTAAACATGCCGTAGTTGTGTAGATATTATTGAAAGAAATATTTTAAAAGATTTGTATTGGATTTAAACCTGGGTTTCAGAGAACCATCAATATCAATCTTGAATAGCAATAATGTGGATTTTGAATTAGCAAAATAAGTTTAGCAAAAAGGTAATTCTGCATAAATAATGTTTTCCATTTCAGATTTGTCACACTGTTCACCTATATACATACATACATCATACACATACGCAACAAATATTGTGTTAAATATTCACTTTTTTTTGTTCTGTATTTCTTCTATATCTGCACATGGCCACTACATCAAACTTGGAGGTGTGGAATTCGAAATAGGTAGAGAGGGTCCAGTTAGACTTTTTTGACTTGTCATTCATCTTGGTGATATATCAGTTGATTGTTAAGTGAAGTAAACACTAATTGTAGAATCTACTTTGCATGTATGTGAATATGTATCTTTTCATTGGCTAACATACAGTTTTAATTCCACAATGAAAAATTTTAACTACCATCATTTCTTTAATCTAAGATTTAAAAAATGCTTTAAATAAAACATAATAACAATCAGAAACAGTAGCCAAAGGTTGGTTAATTACAGCATGATGGCAGAGGAGGGCTGGGGAGGTTTTAGCAATGGATGGTGGCAGTTGGCATCCACACTGCAGGCAGAGAAGAGTAGGGGGCAGAGAGAATTGTACCTTGAGGCGTTTTAGGATTAGAGGGCTTATTGAGGGCATGTTGCGCACGGTGATGGGCAACATCTGGGCAGTCACAAAGCACAGCAGTGCAAAAAGGTCACAGGGCAAAGGTCGCCAGGAGGACAGAGAAAGGAAATGGGGCAGAACCAGAAAAGACCAGGGAAGAAGAGGGAAGGGATATGGAGGAAAAAGAGAAACAGAACATGAGAGTTAAAAGCAAGGAAATGGGATGGCAAATGAGAGAAAAACAAAAACAAGGTTGAAGAAAGGAAAGACAAAAGAGGCACCAGCACAGCAAACTACGGGCCAGGAGGGACATAGGGGATGGTCAGTGTACTGTGATGCTCCTGTATTTCAAAAGTGAAGACTGTGAAATCATTCAAATGTTTTAGATATTGTCAGAGTCTGTTGGTTGTAAAGTATCAAGCATCCCCTATTGTGGATTTGCATGCATCAATGTCCCCATTAACAGAAAGCCAGGCCCTTAGATTGCAGTGGAGCAGAGGTGGGCCCCAGTCTTGCCACAAAGAGAGTACAGCAGTACAGATAGAATGCACATCCAGACTTACTGTGGCCAACTGTCCACCACAGGGCTGTACAATACGCCGCTTCTGTTGAGATGACCAGCATGACCATTAACACGTTTAGGAGAGGTACAAGTAGTTCTCAACAGACTGTAAAACAAGTAGAACTAGCTGCATGCAAATTCCCAACCTTTTACATAGTGTACTTATTTCCACAATTTGTTATAATGCAGCAACCTTTAAAACAAAGACTACCTTCTCCCAAAGCCTAAAACCCAAAACTACTATTTACTTCTTTAACATACATATTTCTAGCTTAAGTCAATATTGGGATGTACTTCTTTTGAAGTCAGTTTATTTTAGTAGAGTAAGGTAGAGCAAATGAAACCCAAAATAACAAAAGTACTTTTTAGTACTATGGAAATATATGCAGCATATTATAAGTAAATTTATGTAGGGGTATAAATGTAATAAAAGTAGGTAAGTGTGCTGCTTTGACCCTCGCCATTTCACCAGTTCCACCACAACTGGAAACAGATTTAAATGTATAGAAATAAAGGGCTGCCAATATTAAAGTGAAATCATTTCATTAAATTTAATACAAATGTTATTTTGCAATTGCGTTAAAGCTCTGTATGATAAAATTTAAATATCTAATTGTTATTTTCATATTTGAAAAAAAATCTTTTGTGTACTAATTAAATTAAAATGTGTACTTGTACACTCACTGTGCACACTTTGTGTAAGCATTTTTTGGATGTTGTGAGCAATGTCACTAAAACACACTTAACCTTAAAAAGTAAGCCTCTTACCCCAAACCCAACAGGAAGCCAGCCATTTTGAATTAAATATGAAATAATTTGCAATTTACGAGCTCTGTACTTTAACAAACTCTTCCTAGAGAATTAACTTTCTTCAAATTTGGGCAGTGCAAGCTGAAGACCTTTGCGATGCTAAATTGCAAAGCCTTTTAGCATACATGAACCAGTGTTGCCGTAGTGATGCTGCAAATTGTGGCAAATTTTGATGTTGAACTCTTACAGAGTGAATACGATCAATTTCAAATGTGCTTATACATTCTATGTTTCAAAATAAGTAAGTGTACCCAGGGGCGGAGCTAGACTTTCAGCACAGTGGGGGCGGAGCTTCATCATTGGGCCCACTTGCTACAAAGACATATTAATATAAGTTTACATGACACCAGACTCACTCTGAAAATCCACAGAGTCTGTCTGCTTCGCTGCTGCCGGAGCAGCCATTCTACTAAATGTTTTTTCTTACACCAGAAGCGCTGCAGTGCGTCCATAGACTGAGTGCGTCCAGAAAGCTTCCCAGTGTCAAGCAGCACAGCGAAGATGAACCGGGCAGGAAGTCAGACACAGAAACGGCAGAGAAACGGTCAATTTCCAAAATAAAATACCGTTACAGACTTCCGATCGTACATCAACAATAAACACAGTTAAATCAGACAAAAAAGAAACATTTTACTACGTAGCCTACTTAATCATAGTAGAAGCACAAAAGGTAAACAATAATCACCAAATCAACTAAATCTAAACATGTCAGCAAAGTCCGGCAGGCAAAACGCTCTTATTCTGAAATTCTCCCTGCGGTAGTTACATTTAGTAGTAGTTGCTAGATATACCCGTCAAGACGAGAAATGAAAGCGACCTAAAGAGAGCTTTGAAGAATGTAGTAGAAGCACAAAAAGGACAATTAAAAACAAGTCATTAACGTGGGGCAGTCTGCACACTTCGCTGCTGAAACACTAAGAGGCTTCCAGTGGAAGCTGACGCCGTAAAAAAAACGCTGCGCACACGCAGCCTACGCCCCTCCTTCAGAATTCCCATGATGCATGAGGATGAAGGGAGTTAAAATGTGCTAATAAGGGTGCCATTTGTTTGAAATACAAATGTGACTTTATGATTTATGTTTATTAAAACGTGTCTCCTTAGAATCTAGTGTGTTTGTTGGTAATTGTCATTCTTGTGGTGGTTTACCATTGAAACCATGAGTGAAGGGGCTGTTTCTCCCACTACAGTGTATTGTCATATACTGTTGCTGTTTGTTCGTGTCCACTATAATCAGCTGAGCTTAACTCCGTAGTTCAGGTAATGGGCCCCCTACCAGTGTGGGCCCTGGGTTGGCCGCCCCCATGCACCCATGCTACCTCCGCTGATGAGTGTACCACTTTGACAATGCATTGTCAGATGTTGTCCACATTGACAAGTGCAGTGTCCAGTATTCAGAGCCAGACTCAGCTGGCCTCTGGTGAGTCCATGGATCTCAGTAAGTTTTAGTTTTGGAACTTTATCTATATTTATTTCAATGTATTGATTTAATTTTAATATTGGCATCATGTTTTGGTAGTATGTACAATGAACCCTTATTCAGTAACAATTCCATGTTATACTAACTGCATATTATGTGACATTCCTTTCATCTACTTTTTAAAGATATATCTTTTCTGGCTCTAGGGCACTGGCTCTCTTTGCAGCATGACTTGGTGACACCCCTGCTGAGGGTTATCTATCGGGGGGTTTGGAGGCACCCACAAACCTTCAATATCACAGCCTGACTGGAGCGCAAGGCAGCCACACATCAAAGGCATGTGTCTTACCCACTGCGCCATCACCACCCCTTCATGTTAAACTGCTGCTGAAATACACACAAGAAATATCTTCTGATCTTGCTGGCCTTGTCCTGAGAGGCAAACTCTCGGAATCATGGAACATTTTACCTCCACCTACAATAACCCCCCCACCCCCCACCCCAACACCCATGGGTCTCACTGAAGGAATAAGGCCTGAGGTGTGAGCAGACACTGGGAATAGACCTCCTATACAGACTGCTGCTTTCTTGCAGACTACAAATATCAAACCCAGAATCATTTCTGGGTCTTTGTTCCTCTGAACTTCCAATTCTGAAATGTATCCTGCCTGAAGCATTTACTGTCCAGAGATGTATATCGCAACATAATGCACAACAACTCAAAAACCATTTCAGCATGCATTGTACATCGTAGGGGCTTTTAAACAAGGTAGAAAATGTTTATTACACCAAAACAATTGAATCATCTTAGCAGAAGCAGTTTAAAAAACTGAAAGAGAGAATTATGCTGGAAATTAACTTAGCAATCTGAAAACCCCTCCTTTACACAGGAGACTCTTATTCTTGGCACCCCCACACACAGGCTCTTATCACATCCAACTGTGTGCTCCAGCAGGCTGCTGGTAATTGCCTTGTTTTCTCTCAATTAGCCAAACCCCAGAGACAACGGGTCAAAGAATTGTAGAACTCATTATGCTAGCCGCCATTTGTCTGTCCAGCTTCTGCAGTAGTTTCTCCTCTTCCATCTTCACTTTTCTATTCTGTTCTATTCTGTTCTGTTGACAAAAATGACTTGACATGTGGACCTGTGAGATATCACAGTACAAGTACACAGAATGTTATACGCTGTGGTATAGACAACAATACAGTTTCACTTTGTGTCAAAAGGTAGAGCAGGTTATCCATTAATCCCAGGGTTTGCGGATTGATCCCAGGCTCCTTCTGTCCATGTGTTGAAGTGTCCTTCAGCGAGATACTGAACTCAGAGTTGCTCTCTATGGGCTGGCCAGCACCTAGCATCGCAGCTCTACTGCCATTGGTGTATGTGTAAATGGCAGAATAAGAGGCGAAACCGTAAAGTGCTTTGTCCGCTAAGGTAGAAAAGCACCATCTACATGCATTCCATTTACCATAACATTTATATTGCAATACAACAGGTAGATTCAAATACTTTCTGCATTTTAGCATAAACACTGATGATCAAGCAGTAGCTTTTTGTGAAACAGTAATGAGAAAGAATGTCACAATAATGTTTTCTTACCCGGTGTGTGAAGTCTCCACATATGCCCTGGGGAGAATAGAAAAAAGTTCAAACAGAAAATAAGAATACCAAATAGTACAGGTTTTCACATATATTTACACAATTACACCAGTTTATTTGTCATGGGGAATGCAGTTCAGCCCGTGAACATAGTTTAATGTGTTCTGTGCTGGGCTTGAAGAGCTTTGCCAAGTCTGAGAAAACATCCTGATGATGTCATAGTGATGTAATTAGGGTTATTTTATCTTGGACTAGGAGACTACAAATGTATGTCAAAAAGACTGTGTGACAAACTGGCAAGGGGGGTAAAAAGAAACTATTATGCTGTATTATGAAAAATGTAGAATCCAGTGTTTTGGAGTTTGACCCATATTAGGGACTAAAAGTCAGGATTTCTCAACCTTTGCTGATTTTAAAACTAACCTTATGGTTTGTATGGTATAAGTGCAATGCTAATTTGCTGAGTACCTTTTAACAGTCCTTTAAGTCAAGCATCTGGATACTTCTTAAACCACTGCTGGAAACTAAACAATGTGTTACTCACTGACCAAATTGTCAAACTACTGCAAATGTCTCACCTTCTCCCCTTTGGGTCCAGGTTCCCCCTTGAAAGCAAAAGAACACAGGTAAATGAGAGAAGTGAGTGGTTAAGCAGTTGGCTTAAAAGTTTAGCAGGTTATTATTTAACGACTGATGTCAGTGATCAGAAACTTACTGCAAGTCCTCTAGGACCACGCTGACCCTGAAAGACAGCAACACAGTCAGCTTTGTGATTTAGGTATTAATGCGAGGCTATATAAAACATTCAACATTACTGAACACAGATTCCTCCAATTAACATGAGCAAAATGGTGTCAAGGTGTCAAACAAACTGATGAATTAGCTGTTGCAGGAGTTTATTCAAGTTGTTGTTGAATACATTCACCAGACAACCCCTCAAAGCCCTTTTCCTGACATTCATCAGAATGGAGACTAAGAAACAGGAGTTCATTAGTGGTTGATTAATGAACATTAAACATTATTTCAACAGTATGGATCCCCATTTTGTAATTTTACTGGCATGGAGTTCACTGGAGCTTCAAAATAAAAGCCAGAGCATCAACCTCAGCTGGACAACACTGAAATAACCTATAACGTAACATAATTTAAGACAAACAGAGGTCTGTCATCCTGTAAATCTGTAATGAAGCTGGAAATTATTCCAGAGTATTGTCCAAACTGGTGGGAGAAGTCCACTGCATTAATATCACAAATGTTACAAGCCCATCCATCACCCTGATTTCCATCAGGGCTGCACGATTTGGAGAAAAAGTCATATTGCGATTTACAATTGTGATTGCATTATAATGGAACAAATGGTACTATGAGTCTAATTGCTTAATTATCAAGGAAATGCACAAAATACTCACATTTTGAAATGTGTATTTCTCAACTTGAACAGAGTCCAATGATAAACAATATTTATAACAATAACTAGTAAAACAGATGTAAAACAGAACAAGGGGAGTGTGTTGCTCTACATAGGAGGTGGCTAGAAGGAGCAAATATTGGCACACTGGCATTCTGGCACTGTCTAAATCTACAACGGTCCACTGCAGAGACTCTATCCACAACCTAGAGGAGGAACCATTATATATGAGTGTATTGGTATAATATTATAACATTAAATAAAGAGTATGACGTCACATAGAATACTGTTAGTATAACAATAATATATTAAGTACTATATTCATTATAATTTCATACTATTTTAACACTAGTTGAATAGTAAAACCAGTCATAGCAGTTTCATTTCTGTTGGTTGTTTTAATTTTTTTAGTCCTTGTGCAAGAAAAAGACTCTACATTGGTCTCTAATTTGTTAATGTTAAGTATAACTATTCAATAATCATGTTGTTCAACATTGTAAAGCTTATTTATACTGATTTAATATATTATTTATTTATTATTATTTATTTTATTTCTGCACTGCGATTTGAAGAGGGCACAAAGCCAGATATTATTTTGTTTGCCAGATCCTTTGCTAAAGCAATGGCACAAAACAATGTTATGGAAAATGGGAAACACTGACTGTATATAAAGTCATATCCCTATTTAGGCTACATTCAAACAGGTGGTAATTTTAGTGTGACTTCATAGGCATTTGTTTAAATATTTTTTTATTAACATAGACCTAAGCATAATTAAGTAGTTACCAGCAGGTTACTAGTGCCAAGCAATATTAACGATGTCATGCACTGGTCTTTTTGGCTAATTTGAGCAAAGCCTCTAACTAAACTATGAAAACTTCTTTTACCAACTACCTGTGGTACAAGCAGGGTGCAACTATGAGGGAGCTCTAAATCTTCCGTATCATCATGGATCATGCATAAAATGAGGAGTGTCTTCATCCAGCCAGAGGGAGCGATCACCGAAAGTCCTCCTCTCCCTGGCTCTGTCCACTCCCTCTCGCTGCAGACGGTCGGTGATTCTCTCTGGCTGGATGAATCCCGATGCTCCTGTTTTACGCATGATCCATGTGCTACTCAGGGCTGGCCATGACAGTGTTGGAGCCCTAGGCGAGATTTGAAATTTTTAGCATTGCACCAGTATATATTTCATCTCCATCTATGTAAAGCGAAACACAATATTCGGGCAGTATGTCAAAACCTAAAAATTTAATAGAATTCAGGCATTCTGAATACTATTGCTTTTTGTTTTCTCCTGTAGATCAACTTTTCTAATTTAATAAAATCCCTGCTAGTCAAGTCAATTTAGTCAGTACACATGCTTTGCCTTCTCTTCTTTTTTGAGTCTCCGTTTGGGAAAATAACCTCTTTTAATAGGCCTATGTGGGACCTTTTCACGTCAATGATAAATAATTTTAATTCAGATATAAACTCCTGGACTTCAGCAGGTTTTCTGCTCACGTTCAAAACTTTCTGCACATTCATAATGTATTTAATTCTACCTTGCCTCGACCCTGCTGTGCATTATGTTATTGATCCGCTGGTATATAGCCTATCCCCTTTAGACCAACACAGTTTGGGACAGCATGCTGCATGTAAATGCTCCGTACTTGTATAGCGCCTTTCTAGTCTTTTCGACCACTTAAAGCGCTTTTACACTACATCTGCATTCACCAGTCACACACATTCATACACTGAGCCTAAGTGCTCAAACGGAAACTAACATTCACACTCACTCATACACGGAAACTAACATTCACACTCACTCATACACTGGCGGAATAGCCGTCAGGGGCAATTCGGGGTTCAGTATCTTGCCCAAGGACACTTCGACACGCAACTAGGGGGAGCCAGGGATTGTCCCGCGTTTATTGCAATTAAATCACAGCAAAAGGTTTACTTTGGGTTCATATAGCTGTAGTATTCGCTGGTTTATTCGCTTATCGCATCAACACTCAAAATGTCCAGCGGTCAAACACGCGTGAGTAAAGCGAGGCGAATATTAACTTTGCTTTCAGTGTGAACACAGCGTTAAGATGTTTATATTGCAAAACTGTCCTTACTGTCTGGACTCATTGTGCATGATTAAAATCGCCGGTGTCACATCAGCTGGGTGGAGTTGATTTGCGCTGAGTCGAAAACCACCATCCTTAGATCTAACAACCATACCCAGTCTCCCTGTATTAATTTTTTTTTTCAATAGAGCCCCAGAAAAAAGGGCACTTTCTCTTGCCTGTGCAAGAGCCTGGTGTGAGTGTGGATAAAGAGCAGACTGCAGCCGATTGCGGTTATGTAATCGCACGATTACATCAATCGTGCAGCCCTAATTTCCATACCATCTTTTTCTACCTTACAGGATATGAATTAGACACTACAACCTGCATTAAAACTGAACATTGAAGATAAACTTATATAGCATGCGGAAGCTGGAACTCTTATGAACTTACTTATAAACAACACTGAAATGGATGATTTCAAAAACCTAGTCCTGCTGTACCTGCACATGATACTCATTACACTGTATGGTTAAACAAGAATTAAATAATTTGAGAATATGGAATGTTAATGTTTGAGGCACAGTAAGCACAGTGTAAAATACTTTAGGGCCCATTTCAGTAATAACAAGGACTGAAAGCCAGAGTGCGGCTAACAGCTCCCATCTGTCTTGACCATACTACATACAACCCAATGTTAGCCCATTACTGTGTTGCATAAATCAAGCCACATTCTGTTTTCATTCTAACTTTCTGAGTACAAAATAAACAGCAGCTGAAGTGCAGTGTTTCCAATAGTTTGACTTGTTTGTGGCGGGCCGCCATAATATTAACGCTGACCGCAACAAAATTATTTTTTTTAATTTTTTTTACTAGGCCTATTTAAAATTGTATTTGATTGCAATGCTGCGCGCAACGCATATATGCTCACACCCTCTCTCATGAACACCGCTGCACAAATCTGTCCTACACAATGCTGTCAACGTTAGAATGTTAACTTTAGAATCAAGCTGGGTTGTCGAGGTTAGCATGCCGTAGTCAATATTGACTCCCCTCTGCTGTCATTCTGTGGGTAACAGACATAAACAGCAAAACAAGGTTTAACACAATTATTTAACAATCCCTTTAGCTTGTGGGTGCCCAGAGTGTGTCCAAGACTGGTTAATAGTTTATGAAAAATGCTAGGAATGCTTACCATGTCTCCCTTCGGTCCGTTCTGTCCCTGTGTGAACATTAAAATAATGGAATCAATCTTAACAGTCACCTCCACTTGATTTCCTTGCAAAACACGTTTTAGAAATCTCCATATCATGTTTAACCCCACCCTAACAGCAATGACACTTATCGTATTACAATGAGTGCACTGAAGAAGCACTAAATTACTTAGTTATTTCACTTTTTGACAGGAAATTGGGGAAACTCACATGCTTGCCATCCAATCCAATTGGACCCTAGGATAAAATAAGAGAAAGAGATTTTGATAGTTTGAGCACATATTGAGATCAGCCATTACATCACAAAAGTCTGTACAAAGAGCTGGCCCCATTACAGCATCAATTGGAAAACGGGCTGGCTGCAAATACTGACTAAACACATTTAAATACTTTAATACCTCTCTTTGTTTTTGTCATTTAGCTAGTCTGTACATCTTGATACAGATAACCATCTTGATCATGTTTAGCAAGTAAAAAAATGGTGAAGCAGAATCTATGTCATAAAATAAAAAAATTCTAATAACAATTTAGTAGGATGCACCACTTAACAATACAAATTCATTTTAAATGAATTATTTTCAGTTTTAATAACTTATTACTAAGTATGTAATAAAAAATTCTTAGTCATTGGTTGTGCGTCATTTGGCAGCTTAATCAGGAACAGTTCATTAAGAAGGTAATCAATCAATGCGTATTTATAGATAACCATATAGATGACCATTCATTAGCATACTGTCTAGAACTCACTTCTCAATTAACACTCAGCTGTCACTATACATTCAGAAGTTATTAATAACTAGTTAACTTATTATTAATTAGCAGTTAGGTCAAGATTTGTTCCTTTCTCGTTCCTCATTTTTATTTTGTGTAGTGTAATTACTAACCGTTCTTACTAACTACTACTAACTAACGCACTTATTTTATCCCAAACCATGATATTTTCCTAAACGGAACCAAGATTTGGTGCCTAAACATACCAAACTGTGACTGTTTCACTGTTATATTTTGAAAGTCTTAACCAGACATTGCATATTTATTATTGCTAGGGCTACGCAGAGCATCTTAGTTTGAGTCGGAGGGCCACGGACCAAGCTGACAACATTTGTCAAGTTGAAATTGGGAGACCGAACATGACTTTTGCTCATTAAAGCAAAATAAGTAAAGTAGGACAGTTTCAGCTTTACACAAATCATCAAAGCATCATTTACATGATCAGGCAATATGGTTATGACTTACTGGAAAGCCTGGAAATCCTCTTGTTCCAGGTTGTCCCTAAAGAGAAACAGACAAACAATCAGTTCTGAAAGTCTGACATACAATAAAAATCTGGAAGCAGGTGAGGAAAGAAGATACAGTTCTCTCCCCCAATCCCTCTACTGCACAAAGATATAAGTGAATACTGAAGTTGATTTTGATTCAAGGAGTGATACTGAGCCCTCTGGGGAATACATTCAGTACGGGTTAATGCGTTCTCTCTGTACAGGAGAAAATTAGATGCTGACATGGAACACTGAAAAGAAAAGAACAAAGGCTTTTAATCTAATAATGATGTGCAACTAGGTATAGAAGGTGAATGAGCTCACTGTATTCATGTTAATAATAATTAGCTAGCCAACTTTGATGGTGGCCTCTTAGAGATTTTCCACCCTGCTTCTCGGACTGGTACAAGACATTTAATATCCCTGTAAAAAGGAGTGAAGGGAAAATAAAGATGTAAGGAAAGACAAATGCAAGGAAATTGTGAATGCGACTAATGAAACAGATTGTCTGGAAGGAGAGATAGTTACAGGGAGCTTTGAATGGTTTCTGTCCCAAAGGATGTTCAGCCTTTTTGAAAAAATTCCAGACATGGCTTCATTCATTGTCATAAAAAATTGTATAATTATATGAAAAATATCTTACACCAAGGTCAAAGGTGAAATTAGAGCTTCTCATAGTCTTGAGAAGAAAGGTAGTGAGTGGGCGATGACTTTTTTTCGCCACACTCGGGAGTTGAATGAATTTCTTTTTTTCAAACCATAATTTCGAAGATCAAGAATGAACACAATCATGAAAAGAAGTCCTAAAAGTGCTAAAAGCGCTGATGAAGATTTCGAGATGCAGTTGGAAGTTCTTGAAAAAGTAAGTAGGCGTCTTGAAGTAAGTTTGTTTTGGCAAAATACTATTTCAAGCATTCTTTTTCATGCTGAGCTTTTAAGCCAACACGGATGGGAGTGGCAAAAGTCCTCAGAAAAGATCCATCCACTGATAAAGACCATGAGATGTGATTGAAAGCTCCATATTCAGGAATCACCTGTCACACTCAATTTAAATTGGAATGGAAATGCATTTCAAGGCACTCAGTTTGCCTAAACTGTCATGTCAGTCTCACATGCTTCTTATATGCCTTACTAACTGACTGTACTGTGCGGAGCTTCCTCTTCAGCCTGTTATTCATCAGAAATGCCTATTACTGTGGGCATACACAGGTATAGATAGCAATAACTATCAATTTGAAAAACAGATGTGTACTCCACTTAAGTTGGCATGCAACTTATGAGGCCACATTGTCCACCTGAGAACTAAAAAGTACACAGAAACACTAAACTTATTTGGCTTCCCAAAAATTTAGGTAACAACAAGATGATCAATTAAGACCTTGTGTCAGGAACTATCACTGACCCCAAGTTGGACCGGGATGAAGTTTCGCGATTTGCTTCCTGATAAAACAAGCATGACTAATGATGCCATTTATGGCCAAATCACATTTCCAACCCTCTTGAACACTGCTGCTGTTTCCACACAGTCTGTAATTATGTAGTATTATTCTATCATTTGTGGTGCATTCACCCAGTCTTGATTAAAGGCGGTTTGGCTGGGCTAGCAAACCTAAGCCTAGCACCCCCACAAGCCTGGAACAATTCTAGTTTATCAACAGAACTGAATGGTCTGTTGGTGTCTATGAACCTGATGTGCAAAGCAGAGGTCCAGTAAGTGGTAGCTAATAAAAAAGCTTGTAGGGAAAGGTGAAGACACTTACAGGAGGTCCTCTTGGTCCAATGATAGACAGACCTGGCTCGCCTGGTGCTCCCTATAAACAGATAGAAAGACAGGAAAATAACAAAATGATAAAATGGAGAGGGGGTTCCACTTGCATTCACAGTCACCTCTACAGATTATTATTAGAGAATTTCACCATATTGATGCATACATCTGGAGGCAATACCAGTGCTGGTCATAAAATTAGAATATCATCAAAAATGCAATTTATTTCAGTAATTCCATTCAAAAAGTGAAACTTGTATAATGTACACATTCATTCCACACAGACTGATATATTTTAAGTGTTCATTCCTTTTAATTTTGATGATTATAACTGACAACTAATGATCTCAGTATCTCAGAAAATTCAATATTGAAGAGACCTGGTGCCACACTCTAATCAGCTAATTAACTCAAAACACCTGCAAAGGTCTTTAAATGGTCTCCGTCTACTTCTGTAGGCTACACAATCATGGGGAAGACTGCTGACTTGACAGCTGTCCAAGAGACGACCATTGACACCTTGCACAAGGAGGGCAAGACACAAAAGGTCATTGCTAAAGAGGCTGGCTGTTCACAGAGCTCTGTGTCCAAGCACATTAAAAGATTGTGCAACAAAACCCATTCAAAAATGTGGGGGAGATTCACAAAGAGTGGACTGCAGCTGGAGTCAGTGCTTCAAGAACCACCACGCACAGACGTATGCAAGACATGGGTTTCAGCTGTTGCATTCCTTGTGTCAAGCCACTCTTGAACAAGACACAGCGTCAGAAGCGTCTCGCCTGGGCTAAAGACAAAAAGGACTGGACTGCTGCTGAGTGGTCCAGTTATGTTCTCTGATGAAAGTAAATTTTGCATTTCCTTTGGAAATCAAGGTCCCAGAGTCTGGAGGAAGAGAGGAGAGGCACAGAATCCACGTTGCTTGAAGTCCAGTATAAAGATTCCACAGTCAGTGAGGCTTTGAGGTGCCATGTCATCTGCTGGTGTTGGTCCACTGTGTTTTCTGAGGTCTAAGGTCAACGCAGCCATCTACCAAGAAGTTTTAGAACACTTCATGCTTCTTGCTGCTGACCAACTTTATGGAGATGCAGATTTCATTTTCCAACAGGACTTGGCACCTGCACACAGTGCCAAAGCTGCCAGTACCTGGTTTAAGGACCATGGTATCCCTGTTCTTAATTGGCCTGCAAACTCGCCTGTCCTTAACCCTATAGAAAATCTATGGGGTATTGTGAAGAGGAAGATGCGATACGCCAGACCCAACAATGCAGAAGAGCTGAAGGCCACTATCAGAGCAACCTGGGCTCTCATAACCCCTGAGCAGTGCCACAGACTGATGGACTCCATGCCACGCCGCATTGCTGCAGTAATTCAGGCAAAAGGAGCCCCAACTAAGTATTGAGGGCTGTAAATGCTCATACTTTTCATGTTCATACTGTTCAGTTGGCCAACATTTCTAAAAATCCTTTTTTTGTATTGGTCTTAAGTAATATTCTAATTTTCGGAGATACTGAATTTGGGATTTTCGTTAGTTGTCAGTTTTAATCATCAAAATTAAATGAAATAAACATTTGAAATATATCAGTCTGTGTGTAATGAATGAATATAATATCCAAGTTTCACTTTTTGAATGGAATTACTGGAATAAATCAACTTTTTGATGATATTCTAATTATATGACCAGCACCTGTAGCAAATCCATCCACTAGCATTTGTTCGTCATACAATAGAATGTATCTAATTCCAACACATAATTACCTCCTCTCACTTAACCGGGGTGGACAGAAATGTAAAGCTCAGGTCACACTAAATATTCCCACAGTGAAGTTATCTGTGCATTCTTGTGAAATACAGGCTAGCTAACTGGGAACATGCTACAGATACTATGTCACAATGGCTCTCCAAGATACTAAGGACACAAGCACGAGCAAGTGCCAGGGCACCAACAGTCCCTGGCGTGAAGTACAAGGAACCTATTGTTGTTGCTAGGATTATTTTTGAATTGTTTTGAATTGAATATTATTTTTTTTGCCCATTACAGGCTCCATACATTATCAGATCGACTTGAGATGTGGACAGTGTCATCTAAAGATGCTTGTAATGCTTAAATACAAAGCTTTTAAGGATTCATCAAACTGTAGTGCCTGGCATCAGAGTTGATGTTTCGCCATGAAAAATGAAGTAGCATGTAAATGGACTGTACATAGTCAAATCTGCCTTAAACTTTACATGTTTGATAATTATCACCTGAAAACATCTATATGCCAATATTCAGTCATAATTATAGCACCACCTACAGGCAACAGGAAATTACATGTTTTAAACTTTGGACATGTGTGACTCAATAGCGCCCCCTACAAAATTTCAAAGACACAGCTCCTGCCATATGTTAAACCTAGGTTATGAAATTTAAAATAAAAGCCATCTGGAGCTATAACCTAAACCTAACTGGAAGTCAGCCGTTTTGAGTTCAATAAGTGACTGTGATACCGCGACCACACATTGTCAAATCTTTTTCCACACGGTGACCAATTCATCACAGTGATGACATCATAGTGATGTTATCTCAGCTTAGGTTTAGAGACTACAAATTTATGAGCCTGCGTTACAAACTGGAGGTTATGGAGTTTGAAAGAAGGAGGTATATGCCAGGCACATGAAGTCTAACAACAGATCCTAGAAATTGCATTTTGGGAAATGTATCTTAACCTCGGCAACATCTGTTTTAACCATTGTTCTTTAGTCTATCTCTAAAAACTTCCCAAACTTTATGAAAGTACATTACTAAACTGCTGGAGCACCCTTTAGGAGTTTATTCAAGAGATGTACTGTATCTCTAGCAGCCTGCATTCTAGCAGAGCCAGGTTATTTAAAAGGAGTTTGACATATCTAATAGTCTTCCACTGTTTTGGACTCTCAGACAATTTTCTATTGATCAGCAGCATGAATTCATGCATCAAAGTTCAACCAAAGATTTGCATGGATTTACTTTGCCCCTGCGAGTGAAATCTCTGATTGCAGCAATTCCATCTTTACTGTATTTGATTTAAGTATGGAATTTGCTTATATTTTGCTGTTTTTAATGCTCTGATGATTAGGCCTCAAGTGTTCAAATTGACTATCATGTTCATCCCAGACAAACTTGATCTTGTATTGTATTGTAGACTTCTATTTAATAATTTGCCTCTGGGCTCTGGATTTGGCACACTTGTTGATATGCACTGTGACAGCGGTGGTCTGTGCAGCCCTTCCGACCGTCCCTGCAAAATCCCACAAACCACTGAGGCCAGATGGCGTTATTCAGCTTTCCAGCACTTTCCCTTATTAGCTTCTCTCCCCCTAAAGGGAAACCCTATTGATAAGACATAGCTGATAGGCCCAGTCAACCATCAAAGACAAAAAAAACACATCTCAGAACATTATAACCTAAATTCCACCAGCATGTCCCCACCAGACGAACAAACACACGCCAATATTCCTGGCAGCTACAAAGCCCTCCCCTGTCCCCATTTGGGTCTATCAGACCGTATTTTTCTGTTTCTTCAGCCCACTTACACCCAGCTGATTAAAAGGGTCAAAGACAATTAAAGTGTGGACAGATTAATCTACAGCAGCTCAACAGGACTGATTTTGGGAGCACAGATTGGCTTGTGTTCAGAGAGGCTGCCACCCAGGAAAGCCACATTAACCTTGGGGAATATGCATCATCAGTGACCTCATACATCAGCAAATGTGTTTATGATGTTGTGATCACTAAAACGATAAAATCACTCCCCAATCAGAAGGCCTGAATGAATGGAGAGGTGGGGGCTCTATCCAGAGCCAAAAAAGCTGCTTTTCAGTCGTGTGATAAAGAAGCTTCCAGCACTGCCAGAGCAAGACTGAAAGCTGGCATCAAGGAGGCGAAGCAGAGACATCAGCATCATGTGTGAGGCCACATTACCAGATGAACTTAACACCTTTTATGCTCGCTTTGATCTCCTCAACAAAGGGTCAGCTGTAAAGTTTGGATTGGTGGGCACCAATCCATTCTATAGTGGTGCATAGAGAACAACTTACTGCTCAGCTGAGCTGAGGTGGACCTGACATGGTCATTTCACATCCCCATGCTGGTGAAGAAAGCTCCGAAATGCATGTATTTCTTGAGGAAGCTTAAGAAGGCAAAATTCCTCTGCCAAGTTCTTGTCAGTTTTTACAGAGGAGCAATAGAAAGCATCCTGACTGGAAACATCACTAACATGGGATGTGCACGGCCAGGACCAGAGGGCTCTGCAGTGGGTGACTAAAACTGCTCAGAAGGCTCATTGGAACCCATCTCCCAAGCATCAATAATATCTCTGAGGTGAGGTGCCTATGCAGAGCCCAAAGGATACTAAAGGACAGTACCCACCCAGCCACAGCCTGTTCACCCTGCTGCCTACTGGGGAGAGATATAGAAGTTTCTGCTGCCGCACCACCAGAGCAGAGCAGCTTTTTCCCCCAAGCTATCAGACTAAACTCAAATTCATCCTCAGCACTGCTCAACTGATTATAGTTTATTTCCGCTTATCATTTTTATAATCGGTTCTTAATTAATGTATTGTATTAATTAAAGTGTTGTCTGCTATGTAGCAGAAGGGAGTTACAAACTCAATTTCACTCCATAACCTGTTGTATTTGGACAAAATAAAGCTACTGACCTACCTAACTATTTGTTTTCTCACTCTTGGTTTTATGGCAGATGTATCACTCAGGTAACGATGGAAAAGGAGAGTTCATGTCATCTGAGGCTGTTTCCTTGGTTTATTAGAAAAGTGAAGTTCTACAGACACACTCTAGACACATAGGAGTAACTTAGTTGTAAGAGGTCATGGTAACAAGGCAAAGTTAGAATCACAATTCAAAAATATAGCCGCAAGCGGCGATTTGCGGGTTCATACCTTTTTTTGCATTATCACCATCAAAAACATTTCACACATATGGTTCAATATTGTTATTAAACACATTCTGCAAGTTTTGTAACGATTGGACAAGCATTTTCTGATCTATAGCTTGATTTGTTTCATTCCA